TCTTGATCGTCATTAAATGTTACGGATGAACACTTAACTGGGACTGAATTTTTATTCACAAATGGGCAAAAATTTAAAAAAGTAAACCCAAGGTCGTAATTTTTTTCCAACTGCTTAGCAGAAAAGATTGCCAGAAACAATTGGGAAGAAAAGTTGTAGCAAACTGAAGTTTTAGCTGGAATATAAGAGAGTCGAGTACTGAGTACTATTTATACATAGATACACTTATTCAGCAAAGAGAGAAGACTTGGAGAAGAAAAGTTAGTCTTTGGCAGGCGTAGCTTGCACGGTCTGTCGCCGAGTGCCCGTAACTTTAATTACGGAAGTTGCCGACATTGTCCAAGAACTTTGTCACAAGAAAGTATACTCCCACAAGCACCCTCAAAGTTTTCCGCATCTTAGAATGTAAAAGCTGTGCCCGAGGAATCTTCGTCTTCACTTTGCTACTTTACCCTTACTTTGCGCTCTTACTTTCTTCTCCCAATTCTATTCAACGTCATGTCTTTCAACCTTTCTAAGGCGCTACCAGATACGATTGTTCAACGAACCTCAATGCCAGTCAAAAGCTTTCCTTCTCGACTTGATACTGCTGCATTTCAAAGCTTTACTTCACTGGACGTTCAATTATCTTTTGACCTTTATTATATTTTTTTTTTTTTTTTATTTTTGTAATTTTAAATTGGAAAATCATTTTTAATCTCATTTGAATTATTTTTATTTAACACAAGATTAAAATCCTTAATCTCACAGTTAGTATTGGTTTTGTTGCTAATAAAATACATAAATAAATAAATATGTTTATCCAATTTCGTAGAATTAGATGCTGAACAATGAGTGTAATCATGAGTATCTTCGTAATTTAATAATACAATTAAAAAAAAATCCATCCAAAAATAAAATACATTCTTTCGGTAACATTACATTAATTTAATGGCCGATAAAATTATAAGGGTCTGTAGCTTCGGTAACGTACAAAGGCTTCATTTCTAAACGTCTCATTACGACTATTATTGTTTTTTTTTTTTTTTTTTTTACTTATGTTCGTCACGTTCTCTCTTTAACTTCCAATAGCCCATACATATGTGGCCAATATATACATATGTGCAATATATATGCGGGTAAAGAGTTTTGCACAGAGAGAAACTAACTTCCTCTCTCATCTTTGCACACCTTTATATATGTCTTAGCTGCACACAAGAACGTACCCGCGGTAAAGTTATACTAGAGAATTGCTTGCAGAAAACGCACTTATCCCACGCTTGGTTAACGACACGGCTAAACGTTTCGTTCGGTTGTATAGAAATATAATAAAAAAAAAAAAAAAATAATAAAAAGCAAATGAAAGAGAGAAAATGACCACGAAGAATAAAGACGGAGGGAGTAGAAGAAAGAGAAAATATAGGAGGTAAAAAAAAAGGTAGATAGTAATGGCGAATGTATAGAACCGTTGGTGTTGCTGTTGCTCACCCGGTACAGCACCAGTGTTACATTCAAGAACTTCTCGTGACTTTTCTGGGAATGGTTTGGCCTCCAGCAGCACCCGCCCGCCATCTCCTCGTGTCCACCACTGTGTTCCGGGGTTTCCTACTTCTGAACTTACGACCCACGTAGAGGCGTCGGGTACCGCTAAAGTAATCCGGCTGAGCGTTCACCCGGAATGCAGATAGCGATGCGACATTGTATATGTATATGGTTTTGTATATGCGAACCGATAACTTTTCGAGTGAATTCTAGAATCTTAAAAAAAGAAAGCTAATAAGTTTGGAATAGATATGTTGAAATTCTTTTCTGGATTTCAATGGGCGAATTTTACTGGATGCACAAAATTGAACACAGGATTAAATATTTACAACTAAATTTTTACAAAATTTTTAATAACCGAAGAGAATAATTAAAATTTCCTTTAGATCAACGGTGACTGTGCTCATTTTCGGTATAATGAATGTAGTAGAGAAAAAAAAAATGGCATAATGATTAAAAAATAAGTTTCTTTATTAATATATAACAGATGCCGCATGATATGGAGCTTGTTGTAACTAATGGTAGAGCTAATAGCGAAATTGATAGAGCAACGCTACGCTTCGTTGGGAATTATGACGGGGGCGGAGTATAACGAGCCACGAAGAGCTAATGAAAGCTTCATCATACCCAACGTGCACTATATTCTATTCTCTATAGAAGCACATCCACCACTATTCAGCTCCACTCGCTTTTTTGCTCTCTTGCTCTCTCGACTTTTGCCAAAGTGAATAGCTAACGAGAGACTAATTGTCATCAGATCGTACGGCTTACCGCATCACGAGTAAATCATGCTCTGTTAACCGAAAAAAATTTTTTAGCATGCTAAAAAATAATAATGGTAAACAAAACATATTTTTTTAAATTAAACCACGAAATTTAGTGATAATAATGATCATTACTATTTAATTCTGATTAATTAGTAATGCTAAGAATTTTAATTAATTCTGTAAAATATCATATATCATTAATTAAATCTCAACATAATTATATTCAACGCAATTATAATAGTAATGATAATAATAACAATAAGAGCGATAACACAGAACGACTAAACAAGTGAGTACACCTGATAGACATTTAATTTCCCCAAATGGACAGTGAGTGGTGTATATTACCGAAATATCTCCAGTGTTAAAAAATATGCAATTGAGTACAGCCAGAAAATAAAAATAAAAAAACTAAAATGATAAAAAAGTAGTTGAGGGTAGACGAGAAAAAAAGGTGTACATCTGACACACCCTTACATGCTTAAACCACAGGATTGACTACATACACGTACACTCACGTCGGAATATATATCAGATGGCATTTCGTTGTATGTTTCACATCTCATTGAAACCGCCCTCATAGAAAAATGTCATGGAATATCGGAAATTGGAAAGCTTATTCATATTTTTTCGATACACACCAGTGAAGCACAGCGAACCACTGAGTTGAGTGTATACTATGTATATATATTACCGGGAACGAGTGAGTACCGAGCATTCATTTCGCATACCTAATACTACTTTCCATTCTCGTCGACGAGCTGCTTTTGCTGTGCACTCGGATCGAGCTTGTGTGGGTATAAGTACATCGGGGATGAGAACGGGTGTAATACGCTGAGGTTTTGTAACAAAGTGGGGTAGATAACATTAATGAATATACTACATACGATAAATACACATGTATCATCTGTATATAAGTATATATGGAGAAAAATTAAAGTCGTAGGCGTGTAATATTTGTATTGGTTATTAAAGAGATAGATTTCAATATTATTTTTTTTTTTTTCCTTTATCCGATCCTTAACTTTCATATCTACAAGCTTCTGTGGGCGCATATTGTTGTGTTACGATTTGTTATCATTACTTATTTTATTTATTTAAAAATTTTGACCCTGAAGCCAAAGCTCCCTAAGCTCCCTAAGGGCCTTCCGCTAATTATACAAATATTCTTAACATTTATATAATCCACAAGACACGAAGATATTTAATATCAAAGATTATTTCAAAATGATAATAATAATTCAAATTATATTGTAAAATATGTGACGTTGACTCAAAGCAAATAATTAAAGAAAAGTTCTGTAAGATTAATTAATTGATTAAATATTGTTTATATATCGTCTCTAGATAAGAAGAATGCATAACATTTTGATCTGAATTCACTGTAATCAATGATTTGCACTTATAATTTAAGATGTGCATTATTCATGCAGTCATTTGACATTTAGTACACTGATAAAAAAATTAACTTGACTTAAGAGCCAAAATTTTGACTGAAGAAAATCATTTTCTTCAAAAATGGTATTTTTGGTTCAAGATTTTGGCTCTTGAGTCCAGTTAATTTTTTTATTAGTATAGATACGTCTCTGAAAGAGCTAAAAACTGGTAATTTTCCATTCACTAAGAATATTAGCAAGGAGAAAAAAGGTAGGCTGAGAAGAAAAGTGGATACGCATCAGTGAAATGAGTATTACAGAAAGTTGGCAGAATTGAGTAGACAGGGAGTCGCGAATGGGGTGAGCACATAGGAGCATTGGAAATTAGACACACATTTCATTTCCTGGAGCGACTGTAACATCCTCCGTGGCTTCAAATATTGGAGAAATATCGCGAGACTCGATGAATTTACCGGTGATGTGATCGCGGACTACAGACGTCGGTTTTATAAGTCTGGAAAAACGTAATATATATAAAGGTTGTTGACTAGAGAAAGAATGATACATTGAGAGAGAAAGAGCTGAAGAATTATGTAGTGGTATGGCTTCGTTGACGTACTGTATGTGCACACACATATAAGTATGCAAGTAAAGCGAGCGGGACGAACATTGCGTCGTCGGATACATGACGCGACGTGAATCGACGCTACACTCGCTTTCGAAGCTTTCAACCGCGCTTTTTTTTGCCATCCTTCAACTGTTCTATTCGTTACACTCTGTATATATATATATATATATATATATATATATGTTTGCTATGTACTGTGTATCCTTCAATGTGCTCTCTACTACTCCACATAGTCCTCGCGTACCCATGGTAGTCGTCGCCGACGTCGTCTCGTAATGCTCGTAACTCTCCGGCTGATATTTACCCGTCACGAATTTTTTCTTTCTTTGCCTTTTTTTACTTTTTTATTTATTTATTTATTTATTTATATTAGTTACCACAAGAGGTGCTTTGTGGGAACCACGGGAATTCAATTTTATTACAAAAATTCAACGTCAAACTTTCAATTGATTGACGGCAAGACGGCATTTAAGTCTTTGTATTTTTATTTCGTTTCAGGTGTTGGTAAGGATTTTTTAATACAAAAATCGAGGAGTATTTATGAAATTTTCCCTGATATAATTTATCAATACTTTTTTATTAACCTGCTGAAGATTAACAATATTTTGAGAATTCTTTTGAAGCAATTTATAACAATACAAAAGCATACATTTTTAAAAATAATACATTTATTTCTTCATTAATTATTTTTAGCCCTATTGATTTACATCAATTCATTACAGGATTATTCAAAAATTCTGGACAACTATCGTACGTATAGTTCATATTACTATCACTGATACGATTAATCAACTCTTGGGGTGGAAAATCAGCAATCACAATTGTCAATCCACAGTACGAATTAACAAAATAACAAGCCATTCGATAATTCAACGGCAAAGAACATCCATTAATATGCGTAATTCCAATTTTAACCGTTTCTTCGGAGTAGGACTCAAAATAAACACCTCCCATATCGTTGATAAAACATTCATAATCAGGATGAAAACTCGCGGCTTGTCTCTCTTGAACTTTTGAATCTCCTGCCATTTGTAGTCGATGTTCTTAAAACTCCACCGTGAATTTTTGAAACTCTGAATGAGACACTGCTTGTTTAAATTAACCGTACACTCAGCAAATCGATAGTTTCCCCTCGCCAGCAAAATTCGGCCCCGATGCATCCCGATAGAATCTCTGATAAGCAGAGTCCAGTTTTTCCTCAATCTCCATCCGTTGATTCCACTCTCATACTGGTCGATTATTTCACAATCACTCATCATGGTACTTTCTGGAAAATATTCCTCTGACAAAGTTGGAAACACTACGTGTACGAATATCAAAAACACGAACTCCACTTTTCAATTGCTCCTTGATACTGAGTTCTTGGGTTCTCACTGAAGGTAGCAAGGATTTAGAGTATGCCGCAGAAACATATGAGTACCAATTAGAGCGATTTGATTTAGTTTGTGAGAATCTTCGAGCTTTGACAAAAATTCACTGCGGTCTTCGTAATTTTTGTATTTATAGTTTTATAGTTACAGTGACAGGATTCTGCCCATGAATTAATAAAGAAAATAAATACCAAAAGAATTAACTGTCACATTACTTTCTGCACTTTTAATATCAAACTTGTCAGGTTGAATACTGCACAGTTACTAACAATATTATTTTTGACTTCGAATGGAGTGTTTTTTTTTAATCTACAAGCAAATTATAATTATCGACCACTTATCGATAATTGTTAATTATGTTCCAAGTATTTTTTTGACTTTATTTATAGAACAACTATTTTGATAGTTGATTTTTTAAACACTAAAATTTAGTAATTACAAACTTTATAATTGTTTTTATTTTTTAAGAAATTATATTTAATGAAATAATAAAAAATCTATAGCAATATAAACATCATAACGTAAACAATGAAGCGTGATAAAGTAAAACATTTGCCGTAATGCCAAAAAAGATCATCTTATAGAAAGTATGTGGGGCGCTGGGGAGCAATTCCCGTAAATGTTCTAGCGGTCACCAAAGCCATCACTCTATTGGGGAAAAAATTTACTACGTAAAAATGCAATGTGATAACGAGTGCCCAGTTTACTCAACAGTATGCTGCGAGACTTTTTTATCTTCGGACTTTTTTACTATTTTTTATTTCTCTCCTATTACTATTGCCCTTTCTTACACACGGAAAAAAAAATATCGCTCTCAGAGCTATATTGTAATGCTACAGTAACTATCCCCACTCGACTAACTGTTAGAGAGTTACTAGAGCCATCTAGTAGATCGCTCTGGCAGGTATACAGTAGATGGCTAAAATAGCTAAACCGTTGAGCTGAGAGAGCAATACGGGATTGCTGTGAGGGGTAAACGCCTCGTTGAAGTCTCAGATTCTGCGCGCAGTCTTGTTTGTTGACATATTTTATAACCTTTAAAATTAATATAATTATTTACTAGCAATCTGTAGTTAATATGCGACTGTCAAGAGTTATGGATTATAATTAAAAAAAAACTTTGGCTTATTAATTTTTTGTTTTTTCCAATAGAGATATTAATAGTTAGGGTACTTTTTAAATAAATTTGAAAATAATTAGTGCAATGAAAAAATCAAATCCGAATAATTTAATGAAAAATATGGTGGAGCAAATTTATAGAACCAAAAAATTATTTAAAACCCCTTCCGAAATTCGAAAAAAAACAGTCGAAATATTTAAAATACATGAATGTGTGTAGAAACATTTAATTTGTATAATTTTTTTTTTTAAAATGGTACATGAAAAATAAATAAATATTATCAAAAATGTGATACTAAAGTTAGTTGACAACTGTCAATTTTTTTTTTTTTTAATTTTATAACAAATCAATGATAGTAAAAAATGCTTCTAAAAATTTTCACTACGAATTTTTTTTAATTCTTAATTACTTATTTTTTTTTTATTTATCCATATAATTTTTAAATAAAAATTAACAAAAGATTAGAAGAATGAAATGTTTTGATTTTATAATGATGAGGTTTGAGGTTGGTTGTTCATATTTTATGACAAATAAATACTTATCAATAAATTGATTTTTTTAATCAGTAAGATTCCATTCTTGTAAAATTTTTCCTACCCACGAATCCATATTTAATTAAAACAAATATTTAAGTCATTTTTTTTTAATTGATCATTGGCACAAAAAAACACGTGTGTCACTTTTATGTGGTCCGGATAAATATGTTTTGTCCGGTAAGAGGGCGTTGTAAGAGAAATGTAGTTGGCGATTCTAGCTATCTAACAGATCGCTCCAGTAGCCATACCGTATTGCTGCTGTAGGAATGCATAATGCTACAGTAACTTTCTACGAGTAGGTATCTAATAGATGGCTCCAGTAACAATATTTTTTTTCCGTGCATCCGCACTTCCTTCCCGCGGAATTATATTAGCCTTTATGGCCCTTTAGTGCGATAAAGGCCGATGAGTAAATGCGTTGAAATACGAGGGTTGCTTATTCCGATAAAATCCATCCCAGTGATTTTAATAATGATTATTTACTAAAGTGCTCGCGGTTTTATTATCACAGGTGAGCATGCAATTGATGAATTTTTTTTGTTCATCAGTATAGCCGCTGAATACAGGATCCATAACTTGAATTGTTTTAAACAAAAGTTAACTGCGCGAAAAGAGACGACGAAATAAAGAGAATATGGCCTCTCAACACTGATGCAACAAAAGTACTTGAGCTGAGAGTACGAGATAGTACAGAATAGACTCTCTGCACTTTGTCTTGAGTGGCGAAAACGAGTCTCTTGCCCCTGTCTCGTCAGACCATTTTCAAGATACTTACCTGGAACAATAAAAATAAAAATACTCTTTTACTTTTTTCTACACATTACAGCTTCAATGTATTTTGTATTGAGACCTTAAACTATTAACTGCATTTTTATAGCCACGGTATTAAATTTTGGACATTAATGTGCATCTCTTATGCTTCCGTCATCATATTTTATATACTTTAGAGTATATTCCGGTAAAAATTGAGAAATCAAAAAATTGATATATTATTTTTAATGATTTTTGAAGTTTTAAGTTTATATTTTTGGTAAAAATTGATTTTTTTGTATAATAATGCAACAATATGATTAAAAAAATAACAAAATTTTTTTTATTGATAGCAAAAAAAAAAAGCAATAATTCACACGTCACATGTACTTTAGATAAAAGTATATATCCCGAGAAAAAAAAATCAGAGGAGTGAGAAAATATTCGGGGGTTACTCATCGAAATCACGGACGACCCCTCGACATTGACATACCAGGGGTGGTAAAAAAGTAACAGCATATATATTACATACGTTAACACACTTGACATTTACAAGTGATATAATCCATTAAAAAGACCGCAATAATTGTTAATATATTTTTATAATAACAACAAAAGTTCATTAACATTTAATATGATAATAAAATATTTGAGTGAAAAGGACGAAAACACTTGGGATGGCATTACTGTGATTATAAAGTAGCTATTCATAGCCCACTATCGTCTTCCATAACAGCCGCGACAATACCGAGAATATTGTACTTATTTTGAAAACAGAGAGGACGTTTCACTGAATTTCCGGACAGTAGTCAGAACTTACCTAACCCTGGACGTACTTTGGTCTTTGGAGGATAAGATGAGAGTGTGTGGTCTATTTGTTTGTTCCGTCTGTGTGTCAAGTTTATATAAGTCTTAAGTATAAGTATAAGTATAAGTAGGAAAGCTCTTTCTCAAAGACACACAAATATGGGCCCTCTTATCGCAAATGACTGCTTCCTTGGTGCACAATGCCGTTCGGAGGATGTGGAAATGTCGTTAACGGGGATCTACAATGCACGTATCATCAACTTGGAATTAAAATCTAACCCAAGTAGCCAACCAAGACGACAATAACCCTAAAGGAACATGTAAGAGAACATGTTGGGACGAGTATCATGAGATTAAAATTACTAAAAGAGCAATTGTCTATCATGTTTTCGACTGATATTTTATATTTATTATTTATAGTGCAGATTTATTCAAGACTTGAATTTTTTTATGGCCAAAAATTATTTTTGTTTCAATATATATTTAATCGATTCTTCTAGCATAATTTAAATTCTTGTAAAGAGTCCTCTTCTTTCTCAATATTAATTTTTTCATCATAGAGTATCGATAACTGAAAACGGATAACTAGGTATCATATGAATGCATTGTTTAGGAAATAAATTTCAAACTACCAAAGCAGAATCATTGGGCTATCGAGCTACTGTTTCTGTAACTGTAACTCTGTTGCAGTAATTATTTATGGGCCGTCAAATATATGAATTGATGAACGAGTAGTACGTGTATCCCTCACGGCAAGGCTATCAATTACAAAGCTGAAAGTTCCTAGTACTCCGGTCTTCTCCATCCTCGGTTTTCATGGATACTCAACTTTCTGCGTCGTACAAAGAGGATGTCCTGGTTCAAATATATCCTCTAACTCGAGTAATAAATGCACAACTCTCCAACGACCACTATAGGTCTTTGATATCATTTTTAAGGGCTCATTACGTTTCAATCATTACATACTATACACGCTTTTGCATTAAATAAAAAATAAAGAATAAAATCGTCGTACGCACTTTATGTAATTTACGTTGACCGTAAATTATACCCAAACGAATGATCCCACAAGGGGTGCCAGAATTCACACCCTCGTCTACTTGCAATGTAGGTCTCAACTGTACACTGATATCTACTACAGAGTGGATACTTTGCGGGAGTATTAGTGTGACAGTAGGTTCACAAAACATACTAATGAACAACAGTCGACAGTCATAACAACCGAGGAACCAATATCGACCTCGACCCCTTGTTTTCAATGTTTCACTGACAAATACTGTAAGCTGACAGAAACGCGCCTCGATCACTCTATTTGTTCCAATTATTGTGCTGATAGCAAATGAGAGAGACCGAGCCAAGCGTGAGATGGCAAATTAGTCGTTTGGAATTCGACACTCCCAATGCGTTGAATGGTGTACAAGTCACGGCATAAATTTCACAGTGTACCAAGGTGATTAACGTCTGATTGCAATTACTCTGCTGATCAGTAAATTTTAAATATATATTATAATTATTGCTAAGTCTGCACATTATTTTTATACTTCTGATAAAATTGTCCGGCAAGGTCATTTAAGATTCTAATGTTGGTTCTATTATCCTTTATTACTACCCTTCTATTATCATCCTTTTTCTAAATTAATAATTCATCTGATAATGTCGATGAAATATTGATAATAATGTATAATAAAACGATTATAACATTAAAATAAATAATAAATAAACATCTCAGTAAATTTAACTCATTCACCCCTACATACCTCATATATTATAAATTATAAGCTCCTACGCTGCGTACAAATACAAAGGATCATGCTAATGGAAAGAACGTTAATATTTAATTAACTGCTGGGCACACAGATCACTTATAAACCGCAAAAACTCGTCCATTAAACTTTTCTAATTTGTAATGGATTTTAAAGTTTAAAAATAATAATAATGCGGAAAAATTTGTAACATTTTACATATTAACATAACGAATTACACGGCTCGAGACATTTACAATACAACTGATAAAGACAGTTGATTAATTTACGATCCTTTCAAACTTTATAACTTAATCGTAAACTACGCAATAAAATTAACTGAGGCTGCAGTAACGCTGAAAAAATAAATAGGTAAAAATAGTTATAGAGGAAAAAAATTCATTTATTTGCTTTCTTGGTTGCAGACTCCCGACTCTCTGTACTGGGTTTTATAACTAACGTGTAAATCGATAAACAAGATGGCTGTATGTCAAGACCGCTGTAAAACACCATTCGAGTGTTTAATATTGCAGAGGATCAACTAATGCATGGCTCTTTGTTATATTAATGATCATTATTACATTTTGATTTGAGCTATGAATTATTGTATTTTCATTCATGAAAAGATTTGTTAAAATTAAAATAATTTTCAGTTATCATTTTTCAAATTTATAATACTAAGTAAGGAATTAGTAAATAATAATTACTTGGTGATACGAATTAATGGTACGTTTGTGGGAGTGATGAAACGAAGCGTAACATTGATGTACAAAATTAGTGGTTTAAGGGTTGAGGAAATAGAAAAAGAGGGATGATAGAGAAATAGAAGGTAGGGGCGTAATGTAAAGTATGTAGCATGTCGTATATAATATGTAGGAAAAGGTACAGAATATATAAGATGATAGCAGTGGTAGTAAACCCTTCCGTAAGCACTCCATGCAGTGTCGTACTAATTGCGGCCGCGGATGCCAGTAACCGCTCTCTACTCTCTGGGCTCTGGTCTCTAGTATGCCCGTGGTTAGTCCCCAGTGGCGGCAACACACAAGCTATCGTATTACTTACAAAGGTCGTTGCGATGTTTGATGATGATACCACGGGTGCTTACGCCCCTGTGACATCAAAGGCCGTCGACTTGCTCGGGTCTGTGGGAGCACCAAGGACTCGGCAGGGTGCGCCGACTGACATTAACCCCCGGTCGTTACAAGACGTCCGCTAATTAGCTGAGATAAATGTTTGCCAATTGGAGGAAAACCCAAAGATATGGCCCATTTAAGCCATTACTACTTTATTACTTTTTTAAATCGTTTTGTCGGTCCTGGAAAATTTAAAGCTTTGTTTTATTAATAAGAATTATGTTCTTTTATTCTCACACCGCGTTGGATTAGATTTATTTATTTATTTTTTTTTTTTTTTTTTTTTTTAGTGTTTTTATAAGAACTTTCTAAGAAAAAAAACTACATATGTTTCTAATCTATTTTAAAACTTTTTTTAATTATAACTGTATAACTGTAATTACATTATATAATTTGAAATATATGCTAACCTGAATTTGTCTTTTCACTTAACTTACTTAATTTTTAATCAAATATATGATAATAACTTATAATCATAAACTTTTTTTAAATCTTAAAAGTCTATTTATGTGTTGTCCATATCATCCAAAAAAAGGTTTAAAAAATTTTTTAAAATCATGGTTGTAAAAATTGATAAATTACGAAAAAAGTTAATAATTGTTGTTCTAAATTTAATTTTGCTATTTTTATTAGTTAAAAATCAAAAATTTTTCCTCTGGCGCCTTGAATTTTTTCCAAACATAGCCCGGCGCCAAACGCCCCGACAAAAGCAGCCACACAGGATTTATGTGTGGTAAGGGGCTGCAAAAAGAAAGAAATAGAATAATAATAATAACAACAATAATAATAATATAAGGGAGAGCATATTCCTAAAAGTAAAAGTAGAGAAAGTAAGACAGTTGCAAAAAAATGAGAAGAAAAAGTGAAAAAAATGTTTCCACCCCACACGTGTCCGCGTATCGTTTACCCGTTATTTATTTCCTGAAATTTGAAAATTATGCCGTAGTTAATACGCCGGTCTCTTGGGCCCGTGTTTTATTCATGTAGCAATAAATAAGAGCAAAGGACTCTTTAAAGTGCAGGCGGATTGGTTGATGCTGGGATGAAGTCTTCTGGGATGAGTGCAGGCATCCAAAGGGTGAGGGTAATGCAAGAGAGATTGCTCGGGATTTTTTAAAAATGAAACATCATTCTTTTCATGCACTCCTACCATTACCGTTTGCTCTTGTCTTATCTATATATTATAGACGATATACATAGACGTAATATTGCCTTGCAACAAATCGAGAAGTCTTTATCGACCGCAACAAGCTTTTGACATTTTTTCATAAATGCTGACTTTGGATTTTTATTGATATTATTTTACTTCTTTACTCATCCACGTTTTTTTTTTTTTTTTTTTTTTTTTTTTTATTTTCAACCCCACGATTAATCTATTCAAGGTTGTAATAATAGTCAGTGTCCATATTGAAACCGTTTTTTTTTTTTTTAACAAATTAAACTATAAATATTCCTTTAAAATAATAGGATGCTCGTCACAAAATTTTCCGTAATATCTTCATTATTTAGATCATAAATGACTATTGCTGACTAAACATCAATTTACAATGAAGATTTATTCGAATGAATGAATTTTTCAGAATTGAAAATTACAACTCTGTAACTAATTAGGGATATAGCAGATTTATCACAAAAAATCATGCAATCTATTCATCATATTTTCAGATTAGTCCATGATTGCAGTTATAATTGCAATTATACGTTACCTAACTAGCAAATCTTCTGATATTATCTACATAGCAATAATTCAACAGATTATACGGAAATGATTGCAATATTGATCAAAAATAATTATATTTCTTTTGTACACTTGCGCGATCAGGTCACATAAATATCACCGACAGTGAAACATTGGATTACTTTTTTAAGAGCATTTGCTCATTTGAACGCTGCATTACAAATTTCTATACTTCTTTAGATAAGTTTTTGCGTAAATTTTTTGATATTACGATTGATTGCTTTGAAAATATGTTGTTTTGGATACTGACTGTCTTTGCATCCCAGCTTTTGAGCGCCCAGGTATTCATTCATTTAATAATTATTTATAGTATGAAGCAAAGTAGAAAACTAATTATCAAAAATAAAATTTCATTTCATATACTTTGATGTAGACCACAAGAGAGTGTCAAAAGTAAATTATCTAGTTCAATTTTTTTTTTAAACAGTGTTTAGAGTATTTACATTCAGTCTGATAATCTCTTTCAGTGTATTTTAAATGTGTTTTACATAAACAAATTGATAGATTCAATTGGCATTTGTTGTCACTTCGCAATTTGTTACAGTTTAAGGAGATAAATTTTTGTTATTATTTATTTTTAGGGATCATACGATCTACACATAGAAGATGTGGTTATTGCTGCATATAGCGAGGAATATTTCACCGAACCTGATGCTTACATTGACGATACTAATGCAATAGTTGTTAATGTTTCAATAATAAAACAACTTCCAACGGAAGCTCAAGTAATTACTTCTTTAGTTATCATTTATCAATAATGTCACTGCTTCTATTGCTCTTATTAAAACTTAATTCAAGACTATACCAATCGTCCAAAAAAAGACTTGAAACTATTTTTTTATAGGGGCACTTTTCACTGTTTGGAGCGTCGATGGGCGAATTTGTGATCGATACCGGAATCGATGTAACACTGGATCTATGTGACATATTGAATGAACCAATTATGATGGGCCCACTTTTTGCAGCATTGGGATTTGATCCAAACAGTTGCCCACCCGACGTTGTAAGATTCTAATTAATATATAATTATTTTTTCATAATAATCGGATATTAAACAACTATAACATTTAAATTCTTTTAGGGTGTTTACGGAACTGACGGCTATAGGTTACAAATGGACACATTGCCAGATGATTTTCCGCCTAATAAATACAGAGTGATTCTAGAAATCTTATATCAAGGACAAGAATTACTAGCTCTACAAGTGTTTCCCACCGTTGTCAACTAATTATAAAAAACAATCTATTAATACTTTTTGAAAATAAAATTTGTTCGTTATAAATAATTATATTTTGTATAAAAATTTTTATCGTTATATTCCAGCTTATTTGTATATGTTTAATTATTTTTTTGCTTAAAAAAAAAATTGGCTCTTTAATTTATCATTGCTTTGTATTTGCTTTGTATCTTCATTAAGTATATAATAAACATTTTAGATTTACGGATATATCAGAATTTATATTATATGATTCATACAACTACCAATGTAAGATCATTATCAATATCATTGTGGTTGAAAATGATTGTAATATTGATAAACACCGCATATAATTTTTATTCATTGCGCCCTTACATAATCATCTCTCATGAATATAATTAGCTGTTCAACACTATTTTTTTTTTTTCATTTGAATTCTCGTTATTTGAATACTTTGTTGCAGTAAGTATTAATCAACATATTACTTCAAGCTTGTAACTATTTTTTTTAATATGACAACTGTTGTGAAAACCATGTTATCCACCATACTGTTGGTTTCTATACTCCAGTCTTTAAGAGCAGAGGTATTTTATAAATTAGTTGTATTTCTAAACATATAACATTATTAATTAATACAGATAATTTTTTGATATTATTTTTTCATACGAGGTCATACGATTTAATCCTAGAAGATGTGCTCGTTTCTTCTTACAATAAAGAGTATTTTTCAGAACCTGATCTTTATGTGGACGATTCAAACGCAATAATTTTTAACATTTCAATAATAAAACAGCTCCCTATAAATACTGAGATAATTAATTTTTGTTTAATAATCAGTTTTTAACTTCTCGTTATAAAAATCGGCAAATTTAAAAAGTTTATTGTTCTCGGGATTTATTTTCACACCAAAATTTTTCAAAGTGTATGATTTTTAGAATAGATTAAAAATAATGGCACCATATCGATGGGTGAATATGTCATAGACACAGGAATAGATGTAACGATGGATTTTTGTGACTCTTTAGAAGAACCTATAATTCTAGGTCCATTTTTTAAAGGAATAGGATTTGATGCGGATAATTGCCCACCTGGTATTGTAAGATATTATAAGTTATGGAAATTATCAGTAAACTTTGATACCATTAATCGAATAAGTCAATAAAGAGTTACAGGAATTAAAATTCAAAAATTTTATCGATTTGTGATGCCAAAGTCTGCACGTTTTTCTGTTGATAAAATTTTATTTCTTATATTTAAATTTCTCTTCAGGGTGTTTACGGATCTGAAGGTTATCAAATACCAATGGAGCAACTACCTGATGGTTTTATGCCTAACAATTATAAGATTATTCTTGACATATTTCATGAGGATCAAAATTTAATAATTCTACATTTATTCAGCAAGCAGGTTACGTAATCCTTAAGAACTGTTTGCAATTATTTTTTTCTGCACCAGACGTTTCTTGAATTACTTCTATCTATTGACAAAATGTACTATTGTTTGCTTTTCTTTAATATAAATATTTTGGCCTAAATAATATAAAATAAAAAATTTTTAATGACCTAATTTTTGTCATCATTTCTATTCTTGTTTTTAATTATAATTATAAAATTATTTTTTTATTTTCATATATATGTATAACCTGATATGGTGATATAAATGACCAAATCATCCAATATATGGATAGATCAGGTTATCTATGATAATATCATAAAATTTTTTTATTAATAACAACTCTACTGCGTTGTGATGAATTCAAGTCAACTAAATTGATACTATCAAAATAAAAAAAAATGACTTTACATTGAGCTGTGTTATGTTTTCAATAATCAATGATCTTCCGTGTAATTACATTTTATGAAGGTCGGAATCTTTTGATAAGATTGTTATTGTAAGTGGGCGGATTTTTTTTGTACGGAAATTATTAAGAGATTCATCTGTTTTATAGCCAATTCACACGGAATAAGTTGATAATAAATATAATTGACGGAATAACAATGGCTCACTTTACATATATCAATTCACCTGAATTCAAATTCACTGAAATATATATTCTATAACGCTTTTATTAAAATAAACTGTTTTTTTGAGTTCCAGTTTACTCTAGTTGATTTTTCCGATTTGTTTAAGTAATATGTTATTTAGTGTATTAATTGTTCTTACATTTCAGCTCTTGAGCGTACAGGTAATTCATTATTTATAACTTAGCTCTGAAATATCTAACAGTAAGACCGATTTATTATTTATCATTATCATTAATTAATTTTAATGTTATTGATTTGTAGGGAGCTTACGACTTGATTATAGAGGATGTCACCACTGCAGAATACAGCGAGGAATATTTAAACGAACCTGATATCTATGTGGACGATAATTTCAAATTAGTTATTAACCTTACAATAGTAAAGCAGTTTCCATCAACGACTGCAGTAAATAATCATTTTTATTAAGCACTTACTGAAAGAAAGTTTTTTTTTAATTTCTCGCTATGGAAATTAATGATTTTCAAAAATTAAGACGCTATTGGTTTTAGTCCAATTTTCGAATAACAATAATTTTTGATAACTTTTCAATTTTTATTCAAATTATAGGGACGTCTTTCACTGATGGGAGCATCAATGGGTGAATATGTTGTGGATACCGGAATCGATGTAACAATGAATTTTTGTGAATTCGTGGAAGAGCCTATAGTAATAGGTCCATTATTTCAAGCAATAGGATTCGATCCAAATCATTGTCCACCTGATGTTGTGAGCTATTAATTATAATTCTTAATACTTATAAGTGTTTATTATATGTTTCTTTTACTTTTGATTATTATCTAGGGTGTCTATGGAACTGAAAATTATGAACCAATAACGGAAGGGATGCCGGATGATTTTCCACCGAATATGTATAGAACGGTTCTAGATATTTATACTGAAGAACAAAAAATTTTGATTTTGCATATATTTTCTAAGATTGTTTAAAACCATAATGAGCTTGAAAAATAATAAATAAATAAATAAAGTGAAATAATAAATAAAATTTAACAATTTCCAGTATTTTTTCTTTTTTGAATCTACGATTATAAATATCATTTTAATTAGATTGAAGTATTGTATAGACGAAAGAATTTTTTATATTGCAGAAAACAATACCGAACAATTATTACAAAATCGTGAGACACGACACAATAAAATTCCAAAGAAATTTTTCATGAATCAACATTATTTTCTTATTAATGAATGACCACACTATTTATAATTAAAAATTGTATAACATTGAATTGTCAAAGTATAATTATATTTTCTATTAATGAAATATGTGCGGAAATGATCACAAAATTGATTAACTAATGATATATTTTTTATCGTTTCTTTAAGCAATGCGATCATATAAATATGACAGTTAATCTGATAATGGTTCACTTTCTTGATTCGATTTCTTATTAGTATTAATTTCAAACCGGTAAAAAGTCGTAATCTAACTATTGTTCAAACTTTTTCAACGTTTTCTTCAATAGTTTTTGATTTGTGAAAAACATGCTATTCCCCATACTGTCAGTTTTTGTGCTTCAGTTCTTAAACGCAAAGGTATTTAATAAGTTAAAATTCGACTTCGAAATACACGTATCACTTTTCATTATTTCTTATTCTCCATAGATTATGTTGTTATAATTTTTTAGAGAGGTTACGATTTATTTCTGGAAGATGTGGATAGTCCTTTTTACAACGAAGAGTACTTCACGGAACCTGATTTTTATCTTGACAATGACAATAGAATGGTTCTCAACTTTTCAATAATAAAACAGCTAGTGATGGCATCGAAGAACCTATAATGATCGGTCCGATGCTTCAAGCATTAGGATTTACTGTAGACAACTGTCCTCCTGGTGTTGTAAGATATTTTATAAAACTTTTTAACTCTTGACCGAAATCTGGCCTTATTAATTGATGAAATTCTAAGAGTATATTGGGATATTAAAGCCAAAAAAATGTTATGCAATAATTAACCCATATAATGTTGACAGTGTGAAAACGAGAAGGGAAATTTTTTTTGCTGATATTAAAAAAAAAATTTTTATTTTTCTTAACATTATCGCAATATTATGTCACCCAGTCACTGTCAAAGCTTATTCGTTAATATTTAAAACCAAATTTTGTACGTGTAATTGTTAAGAGCTAGAGCTAATAAATAAATATATTTATTTACAGGGTGTTTATCAATTTGAAGGCTATAAAATACCAAAAGACAACTTGCCAGATGATTTTCCATCCAATAATTATAAAGTCTCTATAGAAATCTTCTATGGAGAACAAAAAATTATTATTGTCGAGGTACTGATGGTTAAGGTTATCTAAAATTTTAATTTACAATTGAAAATTACGGATAGATTTATTTCTTCCTAGATTTCATTTAATGTTTTCTGAAAAATTTTGTTAGCATCTATTCTAAATAAATTTTGTGTTAGTTAAATAGTTTCCTTATGGTATAAAATATGTACATTTTTTCCAATATATAAAAGAAATAAAAAAAAACTTCGCACTTTATTTTATCATTTCTTCAATACATCCACCGCCTATAAAATATTAAATAAATTTGTTTTATTTATCGAGCTTCTGATAAATTTCACAAAAACTTAACCGGCTATAGCCCGTGTAAAAAAAATTTTTCACAGCTTGTAACATCAAAACGTGACACTATTACTAACATATTTTTTGAACTCCTAATAAGCTCGGACTTGGACTCGAACCCAGAACCTTCCGATGAGATTTTGGCTACTCTACCATTTAAGCTACCAAGCTGTAAACATTTTTTGAAAAATTTTTTTTATACGGTTAATTAAAATATTATTTGAAGAATCATCATAAGCTGTGAAAGTATCATCTTTCAGCAAAATCAGAAAAGCAAATGAAACAGGAAAATTTACAGGCTATACTGATTATGTAATTAACCACATGATCACCATCGATGCAAATATTTATAACTTCAACACAATTTTCTTATTGTTATAAAATCGTGCTACATGATACAATTTAAGTTAAGAAAAATTCTTTATAAAGCTTTATAAAGTTTTAAGATTAATCAACAATTACAATCATAATTATACGTTATAGAAATCTAAATATTTTCATACGATTTTTGTTGCCGTCATGTTGATATTATTTGTGCGGAAACGATTATTATTCTGATTAACTAATAAAAAAATGATTTTAGATTGCACCCTTAGAATTTGAGCTCTATAAATAACATTCATAATATGGTTATGACTCACTTCACTGTCGGTGTAACTTATTTAAATTTCTCATTTTCGTTACTGAAAGGTTTTTCAACGTTTTAGAAAGTAATAATCCAATTATTGTTCAAACTTTTTAAACCTTTTCTTCGATAATATTTAATTTGTGAAAATTATGCTATTCAAAATAATCTCAGTTTTGCTACTTCAGATTTTAAACGCACAGGTATTTAATGTTAAAATTCTATTTTCACTTCTACTTTTATTACCGATATAAAAGAGTATTAATCATATCTACACCGAAAGTTTAAACATCAGAATAAGTAAAATTTAAAGCACTTGGCATTGGAAATTAGCGGAAAGTAGCAGGGATAACCGGTGAGGTCAACCGTTTTAATAATTTTTTTTTGTTATGATTTCTTAGGGAGATTTCGATGATGTATTTGTGGAAGATGTGAATAATCCTTTTTACAATGAAGAATACGTGACAGAACCTGATATTTTTCTTGACAATGACAATAAAATAGTTCTCAATTTTTCAATTATAAAACAGCCTCCAGAAGGAACCCAAGTAATTAATTATTATCTGTATCAGTCTAATTTAGTCATAGAGCTTTCTATCTAGTTTCTATCTATAAAATCAATATTAATCTTGTATCGTTTTTCATAAAATTTATAGCTGCAATGCTATAAAAAATGCTCTCCACTCATGACTCAATTGACCAATTATTTATCATTTCTTAGGGGCATTTCATAATACAACGAGCATCCATAGGTGAGTATGTTGTGGACACTGGAATCGATGTAACGATGGATTTATGTAATTGCTTCGAAGAACTTATTATGATTGGTCCAATTTTTCGCGCATTAAGATTTACTGCAGACAACTGTCCTCCTGATGTTGTAAGATATTTTATAAAACTTTTTAACTCTTGACCGAAATCTGGCTTTATTAATTGATGAAATTCAAAGAGTATATTTTGATACTAAAGCCAAAAAAATTTTATGTAATAATTAACCTATATAATGTTGACAGTGTTAAAACGAGAACGATAATTTTTTTGCCGATATTAAAAAAAAAAAAATTTTCATTTTTCTCAACTGTCAACATTTTTAAGGTATTAATCCATTTTTTGGCTGTGATCGCAATATTATGTTACTCAGTCACTGTTGAAGCTTATTTATTAATATTTAAAACCAAAATTTGTATGTGTAGTTGTTAAGAGCTAAATATTTATTTTTTTAATTTGAATTCTCTTACAGGGTGTTTATCAATGTGAAGGTTATGAAGTTCAAAAAGACACATTGCCAGATGATATTCCACCTTATAATTATAAAGTTACTCTAGAAATATTCTATGATGATGAAATGATAATCATTCTTGAGGGATTCGCTAAAGTTACGTGAAATTTTAATTTACAATCGAAAATAACAGATAGATTCATTTCTTCCTAGATTTTATTCAATGATTTCTGGAAAAATTTTGTTAGCATCTATCCAAAATAAATTGTATGTTAATTAAATAATATTATCACCATAAAAAATATGTTAATTTTTTTGAATTGTAAAAAACAAAAACTTGGTACTTCAAGTATTAAAAATTGTTTGTTATATCAAAGTAAGTAAAAAGATCAATATATAATATTTTATTATATCAGAATTTGCGATTTTTCTAATTTTAATTTTCAAGCCACAAGTATTACCATTTATAATGTAATTTTTCCTTTTCTTGATTCAATTCCTGAATTCTTAAGTGAGTTTGAACTGAATATCTCAAAACATGCGTGAAATTTTTAAGAGAATATATTTCTTGAATTAAATTAATTTTTACAAAGCAATTTTATACGTACCATATATTTTTTTTCTTTCTAACTAACGAATCGTTAAAATCAATAATTCCAAAAACTCGTTGATTCAACAACTAAAAAATAAAATAATGATAAAATAAAAAGACATGTAAACTATTAAGCGTAACCAATTGAATGGTTGACTGAGCACAATCTCAATACTCGGTTACAAATTTTGTTTTACGATCAATGAAGTCGACCCCACCGTACAATACAAAATACAAGGACGATACAAAATCCAGCAGGCCAGTACAATACGCTTACCCCTTGATAATCTCCAGTTACACGAATCCCTCAGGACTTGGCTTACGTAATGACAATGATAGAGTCGTGACACAGTGGCTTATTAATTTTTCTGCATCCCTTCTTGAACCGGGACTTGAACATTCGATCGATCGAAATTTTATCAGTAGCATTTAATCACGATTTATTGCCATGAATTACTTATCTTAAGTTGCTCTTTGGGATTGTATTGATTTTACGCACACAACCGCGCGCGCGCGACTAGTCCAGGAAAGATCGTTATAGCGCCACCTGACTATACTATGTCGGAGTAGTCATCATCCTTCTCATGCTTATGTGCTTTATTTCATCTTCTTTTGTAATATCCTATCCTATTCACTAGTGCCAGTATGCGGCGACTGCTGTAAATCTCGGACCGAGACATCTACACCTTGATTAATATGTCCATGTGAATAGAACACAAGTATACACCAGCCAGGAGCAGCTATAGGAAAGCTTTCTGTATATCAAAATTAGATTAGCAACATCCTGTGCCTGCGTGACTCTTCAAAGCGAGCTTTAGCTTCAAAACCAAATCAATTTATCTTCCCTAATTTTTTTTATTTAATAACAATAAATAAATATATATACGCTCCAGAGTTTAGGAGGGAAGTTTATATTATATATAAACCAAAAATGAATGGTCAGGACAATAAATGTTGTCCTGATAATCTGGTCTCTGGTTTTCTGGTTTATATTTTATAGTTTTTGGTGTTTTAGTCATATATATTTTCCTCAACACTTTTTGTGTGTCGTTAAATTTCTGTTGCATATTCATAGGTGTGTGTGTGTATACAACGTTAACGCCACTGTTTGTTATCATCTTTCTCTGTTATGCTCACTCTTGAGAGCGTACCCAAGCTTAATATGTTCAAGCATTGGAAATCGATATACTTGATCTATTCCATCGGTATACTAAATTGTTTCCAAGCAAAGCAAATATATTTCTTACTCGTTGATTAAAACCACCAACTGATTGTTTTTGCAATAAAATATATATATATATATATATAAATTTAAATTTAAATTTTGATCAGATGAGATTTTAACAAGACTTGGGAATATTATCCACAATAATATTTACATCTATCTAAATGTATCAGCGCTTACGTTGAAAGAGACATTAAATTAATCTTACTGATTTGATTATGATTATGCATATATACTGTGCAATTCCAAGCCTTATTTAATCTCTATGGATTAAATTATTTTGTTAGCCGTGTGGTAAATGAGATAGAGAGTTTCTGTTTGTCTGTGTATTATAATTAGCAGTAATATTATTCATCTATATATATATATATATATATATATAGTCAATTGGCCACAGTGGAATGATACTCACTTTGTGGTTTTTTGGCATTTCGTATACAAACTAATATATATTTGTATAAACTGTGTATACTTATATTATATTTTTAAACCTCAATATTAATGAATATAATAATGTTTATTTTGCAGGCCGCCGCAATGTGGCCTGGAGTGCTACCTCTGGTAGTATTACTGATATTCCTGGTGCATCCCTCAAGGTAAGAATATTATTATTATTATTCTACTAAAAAACTAATTACCGTCCAATATTATTGTCCTTGTTTAACACCCTATTAATGTCTCGAGTTGTTATTTACCGCGGTTGAGTTCCCTTCCGAGCTCCAAGAGCAGGAACCGCGCAAGAGATAAAATAAATGTGTCCGGGAAATGAGAAAACGACGCGTAATATATTTTTTTCGTATACCAGTCGTTTAGTAGATGAAGTAAATTAAAAATTTAGTCGCGACACTTGTTGATCGAGGATGTTATTTTAAAAGCATTTGTGCCACTGCTACTAGCTAGTGTTATATTTCCTTGTCGGGCCCGTAACCGGTTTATACTACTGAATAAAAAAAAAAAAGAACAGTGACACGGTGAATATATACGTTTCGTTTATGTTTACCGGATTTAAGCCTCGTTAAGTAGAGACACTGATAATAATGTACAGGCTTAACCCGAAGATTTTCATATTTAAATAATGACTGATATGTGAATGCACGGTTTAAATATAATTATTTTTCCAGCACTTTCGCGGTTAATTTAATGGATTTATTTATATTTTTCACGAGTTTAGATAATCAGAGCGTGTGGAAAAAAAAAAAAAAAAAAAAAAAAAAAAAAAAAAAAAACAAAGAAGAAAAGTTTCAAAGTTTTTAAATTTATTCATGGATTTGAGAAGAGTTGAATCAAGCCGTAGCATATAAACTCTTGACTCTTTCCGAGTTGATACCAAGGGAGAGTTTGAATAGTCCTCTACAAGCTCAGTCTTCTCACTTTCCTCAACTACTACCGCGTCTTGTTCTGTTCCTTTACACTCTCTGCCTATCCCTTACTTATAATATACCTCTTGCTTACTGACTTTTCCTCTCTTGCTCTCTCTGTCATTTTTTTTATAAATATATATATATACATATACACATAACTAAAGGTTACTCTCACAGTTTCTCATTTAAAATTTGCCTCGGGCATCAGACCAGTTTAAACATTTTTGTTGAATATCATCTGTTATCACCGTTCTCGATTAAGCTTTATAGTATATGTTTCTTTTTTATTTTTAAGCGGAGTCATATACCTTTTTTATTTCCATTTAAATTTCCTTTTTTCTTTCCCAGACAATCGATCATTACCGACATCTACGTTATTTTATATTTTACATTTTATATTTTATACTTTCTATACCTCTGACTTTTATATATATTTATATTATTTTTATCACTTTTTAAGTGTTGATACGCTCGTGCTAAATTTAATGGCTTATCAATATCAAAGTGACATACATCCATTGAAAGTCATTATAAATTTATTGATGAATAAATTTTTATAATATCCGTCTGATAGCCAAGTTATTTTTACACACGATAAATAATTCATAAATATTTATATTTACTTGTGACCGTCACTAATATACTATTAGAAAGATAAAAAAAAAATTTACATTATATTTTGGTAAACAAGTGGATCTTGAAACCCCATATGAATTAAGATAAGTCTCTGAGCCAATTGTAATTCAAATTTATCTTGGGATTTGGACATGTACATTACAAACAAGTTCTATTGAGTAGTACTACTACTTGTTCCCTTGACATTACTTGTAGACTATCTACTTCCCTGTGTTTCCTTGTCTATAGTAAGAAATAAGAACGTTTTTATTTATCCAAAGGATTATGTTTTTTGGAGGCTAAAAATAAATACATCTTACCGGAGGGTATCTTATTTGGTTCTCCGTCATGTCTAATGTCGGTTAGCATAATAAATATAGAGGGCTCGGAATGATATACATCTATATATTTAAAAAAAAACAATACCAAAGAGTTGAATAGCAAATATGGACATAGAGGAATCCTTGAACAAGTATTATCAAGATGTTAGTTAAAAAATGCATCGTCATCTTAAATATGTAGATAGTGCTGCCGGTTGTTGAAAAATTCACGAGCCGGTGATCAAACGTGATGCACATACACTTTAACTCTACCATCAGAATAATAAATGAAAGAAGAAAAATAGAACAATGTACATTATGCAAACAAAGAAAGTTTAAATTACTTGCTGGATTTTTTTTGGTATTAAACTAAAAAGTGATTGATAATAATTGCCTTTAATTTATGAGCTACCAACCTCCTTTTTGCTCAACATTATATTATTATACCTTCTAGTAATGGGATATTTTATTATTAAATTACAAAGTAATTGGAGAATTATAATAACAATAATAACCACTGATAATAATATTCACTGGCATGCTAGCTGGGAAAGCTTATTAATTTTATTTATAATAGTAATAATAATAATAATTACCATTATTTTGATAACAATGTAATGCAATGATATGAAAATTTAACAAAGAGTTGATATGATTCTCTTGATGATGTATACTGCTCATTAAAACAGTTAATAGATATAATGTAGGCAGCTAAAGAGAACGAGAAAAACAAACTATAAGCCATAGTAGTATGGAGATGAAGATGCGGAAGAAGAAGAACAAGAAGAAGAAGAAGAAGAAGAGATGTCCGATAACAACGTCAACAAGTTGAGAATGAAGCTCTCTTGGGTTCTCTCTTGAAAAGCTCAGCCTTTATTAAAGTTAATGCCGACTTGTGTTCTCTCCTTTTTCTTCACTTGCTGGAGTAGTCTTGATCTCTTGCTCCTCTCTACAACAGATATAATTAAGCCGTTTTAAATGCTCACCCGGTAATTCAATTGCCTTATGTACAAGTTTATTCTATTAACATTCATTTCCGATACGCTTTTACTCCTACTTATTATTTCTTCATATATAATAATAATAATAATAATAATAATAATACAGATGCAGAGTATTTAATAAAGCTTTTTTATATTTATTTATTGCAGATGCTCGCCGGGAAAGGTCAACTACCGGGAGAAAGAGAAGGAAGTCCTGGACGATATTCTCGGGGAAAAAAAATACGACGCTCGTATTCGACCGAGTGGAGAGAATGGAACAGGTAAATAGATAATTCCTAGATTTACAACAATAAATATTAACAATTTATATTCCTTTACACAATAACCGACGGAATATGATTATTTCTTCTGCTGTTAATTAAAATAATTGAAGTGATCCAGTGGCTGAAATTTATAAGATTAACCTTAATACTTGACTTTAAATATAATATATTACATTGTAGAGAAAAAAAATTTAACAAACAATATAAATTATAATAAAACATACGTACTAATGTACGTTAAATAAAAAAAAAAGAAGAAAAATGTTGACAAACACATGACGTGGACTTGTCATTTATTACATCAACGTTTACCGCTTTTATATTTGCGCGTTGAGGGAAAAAAAAAAAAAAAAAAAAGATAAAAAGAGAGAAAGAAAATAATAAAGACAATGAGTTTAAAGCTCAAATGTCTTGTTCGCATGCATCACCAGTTTACAGGCGCTGTTTTCCATTCCAGGTGGTATCAACGTTTATGCATTTAAATAAAATAAAATACATATAAATGCTTTTTTTTACTCGATCAATGCTTTAAAGCTTGAAGCACAGAATGGTTAACATGTTTATTACAGGTAGTATAAATGAAAAATGATAAAAGAAAAAAAATATTTGTGAATTATTGCTATTCCGTGTTAGAAAAAATAATTTAAAATTGAGATCACGCGATCCAGAGTAAAGGGTAGCTATATACATATATACATATATACTTAATCATAAATAAAAAAGTACGTAGATTAATATCGTGTTCTAGATTGCAGCAACCAGGAAGGCCATTATAAATGTTAACTATTCTCCCGACTCCCAACTCCCGACAACATTACGGAATTATAACTAAATTTAAACTTTATTTTATTGTTGATCATGAATTTAGTTTAATTGGTGTATAGAGAGCGTTATTGTTATTCCAGCAGGTTAAATTGTAGGATAAATTACAAAAGTTAAATGCACGAATGAGAATAGTTGTTGGAATAAATGCGCGTATTGCTGCAAATTAAATTTACTATAACACAATAATGTTTATACAACTATTGTAAGAGGCTAAGAGGATGAAAGAAAAAAAAAAGAAAAAAAATAAATATATAGAGGTGGATAGATGGAAACAAGTGTAAATATGCGAGTCTCGTACCAAAAACGTGTCTCACCTTTGGCGAGGAGCAGACTAACCCGTAACGTTCTATTCTTGTCGCGGACAAACGTACAGATCCCGAGGATATTGTTGGGGCCACGTCATGCCATGCATTTCCCTTGCAAATTATGAGCAAATATAACATACAAATAAACCTGTTTCTGTATACATATCCACCAAGAGACCAGGATAACTCGAGTACCAGTTGCGAGAGTACCGACCATCCAGGGTAGTGTCAAATAACATCAGTTATCGATTCTGATAACTGATAACCGATAGCTCCATTTTTTTTATTAATTATTTATTCAAACTTTCAATTATTTAAATTGTTTTGGTAATTTACTTTTTGTTTTCTAACGCGATTACTTTATAATTGTTATTATACTTTTTAATTTATTATTTGTTTGTCTGGTCGTTTTTTTTTTCTTTTTTATCTTATTTACTTTTATTATCAGTGTCCTCGTTTTGGTTTTTTTTTATCACCGGGACAAGTGAAAAATTGGAATACTTTGGATAAAAGTTTTGTTTTCCAAGTTAAGTTTAATCGGTATTACTATATACTTGGAACTGTTTTGCTGGGTGATTGGAATTTAATTGTCAATTAAGTCATTTCCAACTGCGTTTTAAACTCGTGACACTAATCACACCAACAGTTTAACTGAGTTTACTGTTTTATGGATGTGACTATTAAATTTTACTCAACATTTGACGCTTTATCCAGGCCCGTGTATAATTTTGATGATCATCACTATAATAATAATAATAATAATAATAATAATAATAATAATAATAATAATAATAATGATAATAATTATTTATAAAAATAGTATTGATTTTATCGTGAGAGAATTGAAGCATCTATTAGCTCCGAGGCTTTTTCATCCGGTAAATAATTTATGTCTGCATCAAAACTTTTGTATAATAGATCCGCTGAGAGGGCGATGATAATAAATTTAACCATCAAATTAAATTAATCATCATATAGAGGCAATAGCTTACCCGACGTCAAGTTGTCCTAGTTTTATCGGTATACCGGAGATACGGTTATAAAAATAATAAACACAGGCCCGTAAAAGTATTTTACCAGCAGCGTAAACCGTAAACCGATACCGTTAATATTAATAAAATAACATTTAATTTTTTTTTTTTTAGTCATCAGTTTAAAAGTCAGGTAATAAATACACATGCAGATAGATAAAAAAAAAAAAAGGTTTTAGTGTTGGAGTAGCATAATTTAAATTAATTATTTAAAATGACAACTAGCATCTTGATTAAGTTTAACTGATTAAAAAGGGGCTGTATTGTTTTTGCCCTTAGATGGGCCGGCCATTGTCCGGGTAAACCTGTTTGTAAGAAGCATTGCAACAATTAGTGACATCAAGATGGTAAGTATATATTAACAAAAACAAGCCAGTGCTCGTACAAATATCTGATGTCGAGCACTTGTCGTCAAAAATTGTTGTCAAATATAATTAAAGCAAATTTATTTAAATCGCGAGTTAAATTAAATCATCTCTCTATGCCTCTAAATATTTTTATAAAATCCCTGCCAAATGTAGAAGAGCGCAAGTAGGTTAGTCTCGTTACTCGCATGCTGCGATATTATTATTATTATTATTATTCTTATTATTATTATTATATAAATAATTTTATTTTTACTTAAATACATAGATAAGTTTTGTCAACAAATTAACGTTATTCGTACAACCCTCTCGAGCATCTTCACGAGTCCATCGATCATCCAGTCCACTAGAATTTTATATAGTTTACCTATATACATATACATACATACATTTATATATATATATATAAATATACATACTTATATAAGTGCAGGCATGCCAGGCATTTCTATACAGCTTCTTTTTATCTTCATTTTATCTCAGCGACGTTCAAACCAAATACTTACTCTTGTTATATATATATATACACATTTTACTTAGTCTAAAATTTATTTTTTCCCTCATTTGCATTTATACTTTGTAAGTATACATATTATCTTACATGCTATTGTTTCCACCAAAGGATTCAGCTCGTACTGCAGTTGTAATAATTTTCTAAATTATTAATTGGCTAATAAATTACATCGCCCGTATATAAATTAAATTAATATAAGAGGATGTATAAATCTGAAAGTAGGGTCGAGTTAGGGACGAAATTGAAAAATTCAAAAATTGACATTCGAGTAATAAATAAAAATAAAAAAAAAAGAAAGGAAGGTTTATATAATGTTATAGTAAGGGGGAGTTGAATCCTTTTATTTATAGAGAAAAAATAAAATTAAATGGATGTATATATATATTTAATAGATATATATGATCCATGTCCACGATGTGGCGATCTAAAAGGGTGCGCAAGCGCATTTTCGACAGATCTTTGCACGTTCAATACGGGTGTGACGCCCACACTTACTCCAAACTCCTCCATCTCTTACCCTCATTTCCTTCATCATATCCCTCCTGTTATCCTCATTTTTTATTATTATTTATACATTTACTCCTCTTTACTTCTCTTTACATCTTATTTCTTCATATCATATCATATCATGCCATATATATGAACGTCTTACACCTTTATTACTTTTATTATTTTGTTGTTAAATATATATTTATTAATATTCTTCTTTTGCATCAATATGCTCGGCTCTGTTATCCTATTATTATTATTATTATTATCAACAACGTGTTTTATTTATTCGCAAATAATATTTTATAATTTATAATTCACAATATAAATAATACATTTCGCGACTTTGATAGCCGACTTGCTCAGGTAAGTCTGCAAAAGATTTATCAATTAAATATTTCTATTTAATATTATTATTGTATTATATATTATATATTTGTATTTATTTATTAAAAAACGTTATAAACACGTCAATTGACTGATGATAAATAATTACCAATGTAATAATAAATAAAATTGTTTTATCAACAATTTCGCATGGTATTAATAATGTAGGATGAAAAAAAAGTTATTGGTCGAAAGGCACAATGCAAGTAAATAAGGCATTAATTTCGAAAAAATTCAAACAAGCTGAATTTCAGAGCTAAGTTTATTGGATTTCCCTCTGAACTAAAATGAAATAGACGAAACAGCCAAAATCAAAATTGAAATGCAAGAGAATAGAAATAAAAAAAAAAAAAAAAAAAAAAAAAAGGTAAAAGTCTGTCGACTTATTTGCTGTCAGTCATTAGTCGTGAGTCTTTTTTTGTCTGACACAGTACAACTAGACACGTAGATGGTCTAGAGTCTGTACCAGCGTGCAGCAGTACCAATGTTGATGGTACACAAATGCACAAAACTATTGATGGAGTGATGATATAGATGATACAATGGTTGCCCTTTGGAATCCTTTTGTGTACATCAGAGTTTACATAAATGTACGCCCGCTTCCAACGGGTTAACGTACACATGTATCAATATGCCATATATTGGAACGTGGCGTTCCAATAGGGCTGGCTCTTTTGCATGCATCTGCGGTATATCACCGGCCATCTATTATACTGTCATGTCTCCTCTGCAACTCTATTGATAAACATGTGTTATTTTTCATGTATATATACTTGTGCGACTAATAACAATAACAATAATAATATAATGTAATTATATTTTAATCGTAAAAATCAGATAAACTGAAAATTCACGATTACGGTTAGATGGAAAATTCACGAGTGCGCTGGATTTTATATTTGTGAGCTCGTAAAATGTCAGTAATGAAAAAATCCTATACGTGAGATGTTACGTCAGGTGTTTACGTGACTTTGTCACTCTTTTAAAGTTGATTGCACGTAAAAAAGATTAAAGCGTTTAGGATTTATCGTTTTTTAAAAACACCACATCATTTATTTTAGACTTTTTTTTTACCCAGCATAAACAGTTTTTGTTGACTGTATAATTTTTTTTTTTTTTTAACTTTTTGTTTGTTTGCTGGATAAGAGGATGTGTTGAGTGGATAGAGTATAATGAAGATAAACAGGTCGATAACATACGGAACAGTTGAAAATGATAACAACACAGACACTTGATGAATAATATTAGATAATTATAAAATAGAGATTGATTAATCTTTTATTTGTGTGTTCTGTTTTTGCCATGTTAGATGGACCTGCATATGTCCAAGTCAACATATTTGTTCGAAGTATCTCAAAAATAGATGACGTAACTATGGTAAGTTTATATTAAAAGTTCACAAACAAAAAAAACAAGTATCTGAACAGCCAAAAACAAATGTTATATATTATTACCTATAGTATATTTATATTATTATTAATTATTATTAATCACTTAAATCATAATATAATATAATATGCACTCGCGTTTTATTCGGTATTTTCTTATTATATATATATATAATATATTTATCTGTTAATTAATATGGTAACATACTTTCGACCGTTTTTTCATTATAGTTTATCCATTTCTTTGTTTTTTTTACCTATATTTGTATTTTTTTATACCTTTGACTTTTTATTAAATATTTATACTAGAAGTTCAGTGTGTTGTGGTGTCACAATTGATTTGTTAAGCAGTGTATGTTAAGTGGAATTGACAAACAGTATGATGCTTTATTCGATAAATCTAAAAAATAAAAATAATAAAACGCTGACAGCTGGCAAATTGACGTTATTAATTAAACTTGGCATCACGCTGAGAGTTAATTGCTCGTTTTATAAAATATAATGTTATTAACGCTAAATGCTAATGTGTTGTAGGTTATTGGTAGTTATATATATATATATATATATTTATTGCTCTTTTATAATTATTATATTTATTTAAGACTCTCTTATCCAATAATAATTTAAAATTCAATTTTTTTGAGTATTATTGTTGGCCTTTTTTGCATTTTTTAATAAAAATACTATATGTTATTATATACACAATATATTATTTTAAAAAGTCAGTAACTCAAACAGTTATATATAACAATAAAACATTTATAACAGGAAGTTTAATTGTACATAAAACAATAAAAACAATATTAATATTATTATTGTTATTACGCGCTTTGTAATGTATAATGAAACAACAAATAAAAGAGAAATAAAAATGAAAAATGCAATAAATTTTTACATAGTAAAAAATATGCACGGGAACACTGTCAATGGATGAAATAATAAATGTGTGTGATATATCAATAGAATAAAAAATAATAATAACAAAATGTTTGGTAAGTTACAGCAAAAGTTTAATGACAAGTTTAGATAGTACTGATATGAATAGAAGGAGTAAAATAGATTATCCAAATAAAAGTTGAGTTAAGGGAGATTTACACAAATAAAACACATATCATTGATATATATATATATATATATATCATCATATCACTGTTATTTGTTATGCTAGGATTAAGATTTTATCGCGTTTATATTATCGTAAAAGTTAACTGGCATTTTATACACATTAATATTAAATATAATAGATATAATGCTTGTGTATGCATTTATATGGTTGGGCCAATGCAGCTACTTGCAAGTAAATCTCTTTTACATCAGTTGCGTTATACAACAAACAACTGTTATATAGTCTGGTAAAACAACAGCAACAACAACAAAAACAATGACAACATCAACAAAAATTACAACAAATACAAAATTAATAATAATAATAATAATAATAATAATAATGATAATTATTTAATGTAAACTTTTCTAGCTCCTTGATGGCTCTCGTTTCCAAGACTTGTCAAAGTCAAACTTTCGAGAGAATTACTTCTATTTTATAAATTAAAATAAAAGTTTACGTATAGTTTTATCAAATGCTCACAGCATCTGTTGCATAATTAATTTTATATATGTATTTCGAGTAGGTTGGTTGTACTCTTGTGTAACTACAAGTCGTTCTCGTTAATATAATATATTTCATTGTATAATCGTATGAACAGCTATTATTTTATTAAATTTTATAATCCCTTGGAACAATACTTGGAAGTGTAATTATTTAAAAGCGGATTTTATCACTTAGTTTAGTAAAGAGCGTGAAGGGAGTAGGAAATATTATTACATTTATTAAATTTAAAATTTATATAAAGGAACGTATGAAAAAGAGCAGTTACCTGGCATGTGTATTAGTACGTGAAAAAAAAGAACAGAGCTCGGAGCAATTTTAAATAACTGAAAAATAAATCGGGTGCGGTAAAAATGAATTTATCGGAATCTGTATTAATCATATATAATTTTTGCTTACCCTAATTTACTCAACCCTATTATCATATATTTTAGTCCTACTTCACACTTTTGTTACTCATTTTTATTATTCCCATCATATCACTCTCAATGACAATTATATCATCATCATTATTATTATTATTATTATTATTATTATTATTATTATTATTATTATATCATCCCCTTGCATCATGCAACAACAACTCCAACTACAATATCAACAACAACAACAACAACAACAACAACTACAACATGAATAATAATAATAACAACGACTACAAAAAAAAGATGAATCCTATGTTCCTTCATAATGATTTAATAATCCGATTGTTTTGTTCTGTTCCGGCAACGTGATTAGATGGCCCGACAATTGTCAGCGTCAACATCTTTCTCCGATCAATCAGCAAAATAGATGATTATAAAATGGTGAGTCAACTAAACAAACAAAAATAAAACAAACAAGGCCTACAGTCTATAATAATCCACACATTGTATTATCTATATATAAATTAACGTCACATGTATATGATGCGTTAAAACTTGCACTTCTCTGTTACTGTACTCGTATATAACATTAAATAATAAATTGTAATAATAATATCAAATCCATTATTATTATTATTATTATTATTATAACTATTATTATTATTATTATTATTACTATTATCATTATTATTATATATGTGATAATGATAATGAGGGTTGATACCTACTATCATGTATATAATAATAAATATATACTTGTACTGTCGCGCAACCAGTGGACATGCAGTGTTGCTACCCGTCAAACGTTCAATTTTCAATGTCGTTACTTGTCATGTATTCTAATCAGCATAATCATATTCATTTATATGTCTATAGATATATAAATGGATATATTTATTGTCGAGTGATTGATTGATTGGTTGGTTGGTACTAATATATTGAATGGCTGTATATTACTATATATATATAATCTTTATAAATATAAATAACCTCGTGTGCCTTGACAAAAATTATATGTGGAATTTGCTCTTATATTTATTAACACCGTTTATATTTTTTGTTCCCACGGTCCGCTCAATCGGGTATCATCAATTACAAAATTGAAAACCAATAACCGAGTGAATTATTATTTCTTTGGTAATTATCGTAATTATTTGCACGATACATCATTTATCTTTATTATAAAATCGGATTTAAAAGATCAAAGAAAATTTTTTAATATTTATTTATTAATTAAATCAATATATAATATAATGCATGCAATCTAACACGCTCAATAATCTCATATTATCGAATAATATTAAAAACTTAAACTATACGCTTTATAAATCTCTATACTATTTAATCATTATCATAGCTCAATGTCACTTTTATTTTCTTTTCATTGATTAATCATATTATCTGTTTATATCCTCATAATAGTTTATGCGTCTCATTTTCATCCCCTATTATCTACTCGATTTCTGTACTTTATTGTTACTCGTATATCACATTTATATTTATATATTTATTATCTTCTCATCTTACCACAAATGCCTATGTACTCCTAAAATTATTTTATTTTACTCCCCGCTTTTTTTTTTATTATTATTTTTGCAAATATTCCCTCTTACGAGTACTAAAAACTACTATATTAACATTTTAATACTATAAATAAATTCGGTAATGGCGTATTATATAATAAATACTGTTAAAAAGTAATAAGTGTTTGCCTTTTGTTTATTGTCTTGTATAATAATGCTTATCGCCTGTTTAATTCGCGTTTCAATTACATCATTTCGATAACAATCAAAAGGGTCAATGACTTTTAATAAATCATTGCCAATAACAATCTTATAAATTATTTTGAACGTTTCGTGATGGTACAGTGTACAGTGTAATTAATCAATTAATAATAATAATAATTATAATAATAAAAAAACAATCATTATTATTATTATTATTATAACTAACAATTAATAATAAACACCTAAAGCACTATACACGTGTTAATTTATTTTAAATCACTAAAATATATCTATAAAAAAATTAATACACAATAATTACGCTTAAAACGCTGCAGTTATTGAGAATAGCCTTTGGAGCTTTTCTATAATCGATATATTGTAGTTAAAAAAAAAACCAATAGATAGTCTACCCAATATTGAAAGTAACGTATAATATATATTTTCTTACACATGTACACTATTTTACCACATTATAAAACTACATGCACTCTTTCACGCTCTTACACGCCTTTATTGGGCATTTATAGCTTTCTGATATCCAATATATATATATATATATATATTTAATAACGGTATCGATAATTAAAAAGACTATTTAATTAATAAAAAAAAAATAATAATTGGTAACTGAAGTATATTGTCGGGAATGTGCTGTCTTTGCCTGATTTGTTTTGTGTCTGACGTAAAAACAGTCTATATATTATAACTTATATAACAATGAATTTTTGGAAGAAAGCGTGTGTGTTTAATTATCTGCTAAATAATAGCCAAATAATAATAATAATAAATAATTGAACTTTGTTATCACAAAGATTACTTTCTATATATTAATTTATTGAATGAAAAAATAACTAATGAAAATTATTATTATTATTATGTTGTCTATAAATAATTGTTTGGTGAAATATATACTAAGTATCTATGATGAAAGCATGATAATGATAACTGACCGTTTTTTTTATAAGAGAAAATTACAAATGTCCAATACTTTATTCAGGTGATTGCATGGTAAATTACATAATGTGAATTTATTGGTGACATATAAGTACTTAACAAGGGATAATATGATGCGATTGTCTTTTTTAACGAGTCTTGGAAACATTTTGATGAAGATATAAATAAAATATATATTCCGAGGGAGGATTTATTGCTACTGCAATAGGGGAACAGTATATTTGGCAGATATTGAGGATAATATTAAGTTTAAACTTTTTATGCAACTGCTGAGTTAAAATATTTATAAAGTTTTATTACAGGTAGCCCTATATATCAATATCAAATATCAAATAGTTTTTAAGAGTAATGGACTATTGCCTTACAGAGTTATTGGGGAGCTGATATATGCGATTCAATATATAATATAATAATAATAATAAAAATAAATAACAATTTATATTTAAAAACAATCTCTGTAACGTCAAATTTCGGATATTTTTTATAAAACTCATTAAAAAAACTTGACTAATATTTTTTTTGCTTGATTGACGTTGAGGTTGTTGTAATTTTATTTGATAGACTTTGAATATGGCAAGTATAATTAATTAAAATGACAGTTTGCTACAAATGTGTGTTGGATGGTGATTTTTGGATTAACACACTAACAGAACAGAAGAGATGCAAGCTGCTGACAACTCGAGAAAATCTGTGAGCTAAAATGCATGTAAAATATATATTATTAATATATATTAGTTGCTTAAGTAGTTAATACTAATTGTTGTGCATCGTGAACAATTTTGATAGTAGTATGCTTCACAAACATCCTCTAAGTAGTTGGCACAAACGCTTCAACATGACTAGACGTCGCTTTTAGTAATTGTTTTAATTGTTTTTGCTTTTAAATTCCATCGCTGGTATGCGAATCAGCTACTGGTTAATAAATTATTTTTAATTATATTTATATTAATTACTTTCTCACTAATTTAATCACCTATTCGTTTTACAATTTATTTAATTCAATTACTCCACATCGGAATATTTAATTTAATATGCCAAAGAGTTTTATGGATGATTCTAATTCATTAATCAATAGCTGGCATACAAAACATTTATTTTTAAAATCGTATTTTAAATTTAGATTGGAAGCGAGAGAGAATAAATTAACGAAACTCGAGTATAAAAAATTTAAATGATACTTTTTTTTTGGAGTAGTTAGACATTTTTTTTTTTTTTTTTTTTTTTTTTATTTCACAAAAATAAAACATTGGCAATAATAGAAATGTAAAATTATTGAAAAACAATAACAAAATTTTGAATTAAATTTTAAAGTAAACAGTTAGAGTTTTTTTTTTTATTTAGAAAAACATTTTTAAAATAATAATAAACTAGTTTAAATAAAATTCAGCAATAAAATAGTGTAAAAAATTAATTAAAAAAAAAAAAACGTAAACAAATGAAATGACAAATAAAAGTACGTGAGTAGAGTACCGTGAAATAATTAATGAAAATAATTTGTTGACAGGAATATTCAGTACAATTGACGTTTCGAGAACAATGGCTGGATGAACGGCTCAAGTTCAATGATTACGGAGGTACGCGTTATTATTATTATTATTATTATTATTATTATAATTTATCAATACATATTGTGCGTTGATAACAAATTTTAATTAAAAAACTTTCAGGACGGTTGAAATATCTAACTTTGACAGAATCGTCGCGAGTATGGATGCCGGATCTTTTTTTTTCAAATGAGAAAGAAGGACATTTTCACGAAATCATCATGCCAAATGTATATATTCGAATATTTCCTCATGGCTCGGTACTCTACAGTATACGGTAAGCATTATAAAGAGCATTAATAATTAAAAATAATTACAACGACTGATTGTTTGGATGCAGAATATCTTTGACTCTATCGTGTCCGATGAACTTGAAGCTGTACCCACTAGATCGGCAAACTTGCTCATTAAGAATGGCCAGTTGTACGTATTAATAATTTTTATTCAGTATTGCCAGTAAAGAGCATGATGTTAATTTAATAATTGTATTTTAGATGGTTGGACGACTGACGATTTAGTATTTGTTTGGAAAGAGGGCGATCCCGTCCAGGTAGTGAAAAATTTACACCTCCCACGTTTCACCCTGGAAAAATATCTCACTGATTACTGTAACAGTAAAACAAATACAGGTAATTATTAATAAAATAAAGTATGTAAATATAAATGGATGGTATTTTGATTTTGATTTTGTTTTTGATATTTGTTTTTCAGGCGAATACAGTTGCCTAAAAGTGGATTTACTTTTTAAGCGTGAATTCAGTTACTATCTAATACAAATTTATATACCATGTTGTATGTTAGTTATTGTCTCGTGGGTGTCTTTTTGGTTAGATCAAAGCGCCGTACCAGCTCGAGTGTCACTTGGTAAGTATCTTTTTTTTTATTTATCATCTTCATCTTGTTCTCGCTCACGTCTTTTTATAATTCTTTTGTTGTATCTTGTCATCATCTAAAAAAATCAATAAGCAATTGACGTGGTGAAAGATAGTAATCAATATATAATATAAAAGGGTAAAAGGGTAATATAAAAGGGTACAGGATGAATATAGAGGGATCGAGGGATCGAGGGATGGGGAGGAGTATGTAGATAAGACTGAACAGAATTGAACTGAAATGGTGTATGTTATTTGTGATTAATGATAGGAGTGACAACATTACTGACAATGGCGACACAAACGTCTGGAATAAACGCTTCACTGCCACCAGTCTCCTACACAAAAGCCATCGACGTATGGACAGGAGTGTGCCTGACCTTTGTATTCGGTGCGCTGCTAGAGTTTGCACTGGTTAATTATGCCTCGCGGAGTGACATGCACCGAGACAACTTGAAAAAGAAATACCGTGAAACAGAGCACTCATCATCCGTCGATCCGACAACTGAGCTCCTTGAACAAGACGGTTCCGCCAATTTCCAAATGGTCAGTTTAACAGACATCTTGATAAGTATTTTTTATCTTTTACGTAAATCACGTTTTTTTTTTTTTTTTTTTTTTTTTTTTTTTTAAATAATATATATATATATATATATATGTATATATATCGGACAAGAGTCATTTGAATGAGAGTAACTAGCTAAAGAGTCTTATTAAAAATAACAAAAAAGTCTACTTGATTTTAATTAAATTCAATAATTGGATTATAAAAGTCCTTAAACTTTATTAAAAAAGAGAAAGAGAAAAAAAAAAAAAATTAGTAGCTTTTGAACAGAAAACCAAGAGCCGTCAATTTCTTTCAGAAGCCTCTCGTCCGACACCCGGAGGATTCGATCTCAATGGATAAGATTCGGCAGTGCGAAGTACATATGCAAACGCCGAAAAAAAACTGCTGCAGGTCGTGGCTGTCCAAGTTCCCGACGAGATCCAAGCGCATCGACGTCATCTCACGGATCACTTTCCCCCTCGTATTCGCTCTGTTCAACCTCACGTACTGGTCAACGTACCTGTTCCGGGACGAGGCGGAGAACGAGTAAATAGCAACAGCAACAACAACAACAACAACAACAACAATTTTTCACCAGCTATCAACGAGGGATCCTTTGGATCAAAAGACGTGGCTCGCGGCCATCTCTACCACCACTCTCACTCACCGAGACACCACCACCACCACCACCACCACCACCATCACTCTCAGCGTTCACGCTCTCATCCACGCAACACCTCAACCACGGGCAATCATCAGCATTCTCACAATGTCTATCCACACATGAACAATCACCAGCATCAGCTTGGTCAGCTTAGTCAGCAGCCGTACAACACTAGGCAGCGGCAACACCGTCATCATCATCACCATCAGCGTCAACAGCCTCACTCACCGACTTCATCTAGCCAAACAGAGGAGGGAGAGACCACTGGTCACGGATCTCCAGGAGTTCTGTCGCTTAATTCCCGGATACCACCGTCTTCTTCGAGGTGTTCATCCTCCCCAGCCTCGTCAGCGTCCCGCATGGAGACCCCTTCGCCGTCTCCGTCGATGCTGGTCTGCGCTGGGAATAAAACCAACATAAAGACTTCTGCTGGCAACACCTCAGCTAAAGTTATCCGAATATTTCCGCGACTACCTATTGGAAATCGTGATTCCTGCTCTAACTACTTCAAAAAGCTCTTCAGTTGTCGGGCTAAGGGCAGCGCGAGAATTGACGTTATCGCACGGTTCGCATTTCCCTTTATGTTTGTCGTATTCAACTTCGCTTACTGGTCCATGTACCTATTTCGGGATGAAGAAACCAATACTAAAATGAATTGATGTGTGACGAAGAAAATGTACGTAATTTATACTAAAAAATTTATAAAAATTCAAAAAAAAAAAATATTACAAATCGAATCAAGTTGACGTATAGTAGTGGATAATTAATTAAAGGTGTGAGAAATGGGAATTTAATAATATCTAATGTTGATTACGCTCAGCATGGTCATTTACATACTTCAGTCATCATTAATTCATTATTCTTCATTGAATTTTTAAGCAACTCTCAGTCTATCAGTCATTTATCTTAATACAATTTTAATAAAAAAAAATTATTGATTGTAAAAATCAATTAAACCTAAAAAATATACAATGATAAATGAACGATGCTGAGTCGTGACCAATAGATTGCTCAACGATATTATAAAAAAAAAAAAAAACTAACAAATAAATAATAATATTTAAAAAAAAAAAAACAAAGTTTAATTACGGAGAAAATCAAAAAAAAAAAAAAAAAATATATTATTTATTATTCCGGGAACATTTCTCTGTAAACACAAACGAATTTCGGGCGTGAACGTTTAAATCATCAAGTGTGCGAATGTGTAGGTAAAACATGAATTATTATTTATTATTGTTATTATTATTGAAGTATATAATAAAAAAATAAAGTGAGGAGAGACCGCGCGCCACGAAGTGACAAAAGTAGTGGATCTTGCATAGCCACGGCCTTTTTATGCCTTGGTGCATCTATATTTATAAGTATTATATCTATAAATATATATATATATATGAATATAAATATATAAATATATACATATATATATATATATATAAATATATCGAGAAAAAAAAATAAAAAGTAAACTTGTTATAAACAGTCAGTGATTCCTTTATAATAATTAATGATATAATAATGTATGAAACTTTGTAGCCTTGTGATTTATTGTCTCGTTGTGTAAATTTGTTTTAAACAAAACTCGTTTATTACCAAGTTTATGAGACATTTGTTTCAGCAATTGAGCTAATTATTATTATTAATACAATAATTAACAGCTATTAACGAGATAGTTGCTCAGAGGCTGAAAGTTTCTTTTAGAAAATCCGTACGGTAATTATTATAAGAATCAAAAAAATGATTAAAAATATTCACTTAAAATCAACCATAGTGTGTACCAAGTGATACATTTTCATTTACATGTTAATGTAATAAGTAAAGACGACTAAAAAAAAAAAAAAATAATAACTGTAAGGATAAATAATAAATAAAAACAACAGAACTTGACAAATTAAAAATTTAAAAATAAGACAAAAGGGTAACTAACGGATTGATTGTCGTTGAAACGTTCAATACAAACGACAGATTTGTAATTAAAACGATGAAAAAAAGAAAAAAAAAATAATAATTTAAGCTTTTCAAAATTAAAAATAAAACCGATGTCGCCGGCGACCACAAATACCGGTACTGTGACAAAAATATTTCTGCAGTCAATATCGAGGATCGTGTATATTAATTAAAAAAAATAATAATAATAATTATTATAAATAAACTAATGATAAATAAAAACGTATCGGTTGTTTGTCAGTAAACTAGTTTAATAAAGTAAAAACAGAAAAAAAAAGTCACGAATTTATATATAATTATCATGCATTAAAAAAGGGGGCAGGGTAAACGAATTAATAAATTCATACGCCATATATTTATTTAACTCGTATAATAATAATAATAATAATAATAATAATAATAATAATAATAATAATAATAATAATAATAATAATAATAATAATAAATTGAAAACGAGAGCGAGGATGTTTACAATAATTTATTTTGTTTATTAAAAAATCATCGACCTCGATAAAATGTAATAATAAAATTATTTCTTAACGTTTTAACAAAATTGGAAGAGGGCATCGATAAACGTTGGAAAGTAATGTAATATTTCGACGAATAAATATTAACTGGAGATGAATAATGAAAAAAAAAAAAAAGAAAAAAAAAAGTTAAAAATAATAAATGAATTTAAAAATAAATAACAATACAAGTTTTAGATTAACCACCATTAGTATTTAATAGTTGCACTTATTACATTATAGACATTGTAACTCATCCTATTTATATATAATATATAGATTAATGTATGTATATGTGTGTAAGATACTTATATGGCATATACATAGATACATCTATATGTATGTATAAACGATTCGAAATGAAATATCACCCCTTACCCTCGCCACTACCCTATCCATCCAAGTGTAAATAATAATTATCAATTGCAGACGATCCCATCAGTGAAATTCAATAAACATGAACACACAGAGAGCCACATAAATACCTACATGAATACATTTATTGGATAAATATACGTAGAGACACACACGTCATTGCCATATCTATAATTAATAGAGAGTTGGTGCAATTCGATGAGAGACAAATTAATCAAATGGAAAGTATACATACATGCATAATGTACTCTTACACATAAATACATGATAACAAAATTACATACGTAGATTAACATATATAACAGAGAAAAGTTTTTACTGATACGATATTAATTATTGTACTGGTGGAGAGTTCCAAACAAACAACTCAAAGATACGGCGCTCATTATAATAAATTATGTTAGTGTGTGATTATAAATCTTTTGATTTATAATTAGATAAAATAATTAAATCAGGACGACACCCTGTAAATAGGAAAATTATTAATTATATAATATTAATAATAATAATAATAAAATAATAAAAGCAGATGGACGTAATAAATAACGTTAATTTTATTCGTCACTTAAACAAATTTATTGATTTGTTAATAAAACCGTATGAATTACCAATAACTCACCTATTATAGATCATCTTTATATATTTATTTATTTAAATACTTTTTTCTATTTTTATTTAATAGATAGGATGTATAAATTTATACGTTATAGTTTATTATAAATATTTTATTATTATTATTACTATTATTATTTTTATTTTTTTTTAAATCTGTATACGTTGATAATAAAAAAAAAGAACAGAATGAATGAATTGATTAATATAATAAATATATTTATTCCCTTTTTAATATTTAAATTATCTGTAAAATAGTATTATTATTATTATTATTATTATTATTTATTATTATATTTGAAGTTTTATAAAAAAAAAACATTATATAAATACGTCATTAGTTTTTAAGTTACGAGATTAAAGTAATTACTAAAAATGGATTTGACGATAAATCAAAATTGATTACTTAGTAATCTTAAAAATAATAATTAACTGTAGTTTTTAATTTTATTATTTAAATATATAAATAAAAGAATTGAAATTTTTAAATATCAAAAAAATCACCAGGAATTTTAAAAATTATTTACATAACATGGATTAATAAATAAAATAGAGATTTTGGGAATTCATATCGATTTAAAATAAACAAAACAACGACAGGATTTAAAATTATGTCGTATGTGTTTCTGCTTCAAATGTGCTCAATTATTAATAATTAGAAGTTCTTAAAAAAGGCCCATGTAACTTTAACAGTATTATGAAATTTACCAATGCTGATGTAATTGATACAAAACTATTTAAAACAAATAATAGAGAATTGGTTGGTGAATAAATAAAATTAATTCGTCATTATTTTATTTATACAAAAAAAAAAAAAAAAAATTTAATTTATTTAAACATTATTTGGTAATAATACAAAAAATTAATTAATTATAATAATTGTAACACAATTAACTTATTTATTGATCCTTTTGTACTTTATCATCTATTTTAATTTCTTCACCTTTTAACATCATTTGCCGACGATACTCCTCTTGTTTTTCCTTCTGTTTTCGTTTACGTTCTATCCGTAACTCTTCTTCTGTCATAGCTTATTTTATTGATTATTAAATTAATTAAATTTGTCACTAAATAAACCAAAAATATAAATTAATCAGATGAAATTATTTACCTGTAGTTCGTGGTGTGTTTTCTGTACTTTTAGAGGGAGCTTTAATTAGTTGTACTGTAGAAGTAGTTGTTGACACGCTGTTAATTACTTTTACTTCATCTTTTTTCGGTTCTTTCAAGCCATCTTTTTTTTCTTCCCTCAAACTTTCTTTTCTCATTCGTTCCTTTGGACTGTTTGCATCTAATTAAATTCAACGCGACATTATTAAATTAATTTTATCATAAAAAAAAAAAATAATTTATTTACATTCTAATATTTCTGAATTACTGGTTGACACTTTTGATGGTTCAGTCTTTGCTCTCTGATCATTTTGGAATAATTTATTGTCGCTAGTTTTTTGGATTTTTGATTTATGGCTAGATATTTTTTCATTTATTTTTGTCTCAATGATACCGCCGAAGCAGAGAAGAGATTTTTTCAGAGCATTTGTTATCGAAGACTGAAAAATAAACAATCTTATTGCATATATCACCATTAATTAGATAAATTATAAACTTACAACTCTAGCTTCAAAAACAGCAGTTCCTTTGACGGAAGATTCAGCGTTACTGTATCCCATTTCTTCGTGAAAAGTACCATCAGGTAATTGAACTCTTACAAATGCTGCGCACCCAATTAAATATCTTCCCATGACATATTCTACAAAATCTAAAAATCAAAGATAAATAATTAATAATTTACAAAAGCAATTGCTTTGATTTAATTGTCCGTACCAACTGTTTGACTGGTTACAGCATGACTCCATTTTCCATGTCCAAATATCTCATTAGCAATTGTTATTAATTCATTATACGTTTGCTTGTCATTATCCATGTTTCCACGGGAAGAAATATCTTTTTCCGGGGAATTTTCTGTTTTAAACGATGGCTTTTTTTTTTTTTTTTTTTTTTTTTTTTTTTTTAACAATAAAAACAAATTAAAAATGAGTATTAAATAAATTTTAATTGTTATTTTAAATAAATGATAAATATAAATAAATATTTTTTTTTCACTTACCAATTTAATGCAAGAAGAAAAACTCATGATTGCTAATAATAAATAATTAAAGAAAAAAAAATAAATACTAATGATTTTTTAAAGAAAAAAATTGAAAAAAGTAATTAATATATAACAAATAAATTTTTATAATTTTATCAATAAATTAAATAAATATTATTATTTGTGTACAACGAACTGGGAAATATATAAACAAAAACTATTAACAGTTAGTTGTTACTATTATTATGATTATTTACAATAATCAGCTGTTGGTATATTGGTATATAACAATAAAACAACAAGATGTCGCTACTGGCTTATGTCAAGTATCGTCTCCATGTTTTCACACCACATAACACATGTTCATAACACGTTTTTTTTATTTTAAAGAGCTCTAATTTATTTATTTCCAAATATTATTTGAAAATATTCAACCCGATTGTTGATTAATAAATACTAAAAAATAATGGGTAAACTTGACGTAGTTATGCTACGATATCTTTCTGCGGAAGATTTTCGCGTTTTGACTGCTGTAAGTACTTTTTTTAACATTATATTTATAACAACAATTTACTCCTATATTTTATGATGATCCAATTACTGAAAAATATATTGTTTATAGATTGAAATGGGTATGAAAAATCATGAGCTGGTTCCTGCAATGCTGGCTGCTCAAATTGCCAATTTAAAGCATGGTGGTGTTAGCAAAATATTACGCGAGTTGTCAAAACATAAATTAGTTAGTTATGAACGTGGAAGACATTGTAAGTACTTTTAAAAATTCAATTATTTTGGATTATTAATTAGAATAAAAAAATATTTTTATTAATTTTCAAATGTGGAACTTTTATAATAATTTAATTGCTATAAAATTCTAAAAAAATTTTTGATATCTGTCAACTATATAGTGTCATATAAATTTCAGTACCATAAAAAAATAGAATATTAACAATAAATTTTTTCTAGATGATGGCTACCGTTTAACAAATGCAGGATACGACTACCTGGCTTTAAAAGTTTTGTCAACTCGTGAAGTATTATCATCATTCGGCAATCAAATAGGTGTGGGAAAAGAATCAAACATTTACGTGGTAGCTGACAAAGATGACAAACCACTCTGTTTAAAATTGCATCGTCTTGGTCGTACGTGCTTCCGGAACATCAAAGGTAAACGCGATTATCACCAGAATCGTAAATCAATGTCTTGGTTATACTTGTCCCGGATATCAGCAACTCGTGAATTCGCTTACATGAAAGCTCTTCAAGACCGTGGCTTTCCAGTCCCAAAACCCATTGATTTTAATCGGCACTGCGTTGTTATGGAGCTGGTAAATGGATACCCACTGTGCACAATAAGTGAAATCGAAAATCCAGATGAGTTGTACGACGAACTCATGAATTTAATAGTCAGATTTGGGAACCATGGAGTAATTCATGGGGATTTCAATGAATTCAACATCATGGTGACGGATAAAGGAAAGCCAATTATTATTGATTTTCCTCAGATGGTTTCTACTGAGCATCTCAACGCCGAGTATTTTTTTGATCGTGATGTTAATTGCGTCAGAAGTTTCTTTAAAAGAAAATTTGGTTATGAGAGCGAATTATATCCTTCTTTTAAGGACATCTGCAGAGAAGGCTGCATTGACGCTGAAGTAAAGGCCAGCGGGCTGACCAGACAAATGGAGAAGGACTTGCTCGTTGAGATGGGACAGATTGATGAAGATGAAGATTCTGATGATGATGATGATGATGATGATGATGATGAATCAAATGAAGAGAAACCTTTAGATTCAATCACTGAAATTAAATTACTCCGTAACCAAGTTAATGAAAGCGTTGCTAAAGATTTAAATGAAAAAATAAATATTCTATCCGATAATGATGTTAATGAAGACGATGATAATTTAGATGAAAGCGTGGTGAAAGATTTAAGTGATAAACTGAGGATACAAATGATTGATCAAGAGGATCATGAAAGTGAGCTAGCTGATCAAGTTCCAGATCTTATTGAAGACGATCGCGAATCAAGATTCGACAGTCACAGTACATGGAGTACTACCTCGACCATTGACCCAGCGGTAATTAAGCAACGGGTCAAGCAGTCGCTGAAAAAACGAGAGCGTCACGGACAGTCGAGAAGAGTTTTGGCCAAGGGAGAAGCCAGCACAACTACTCGTCAGAGACGGGATAATCGTGATACTATTAAGCAGTACACTGATGGCGGTGTTTGGGGAGATTAAGATAAATACAATTTTTTATTTCATTTTTTTATTAAATAAATACATGTTTAATATTAATTCCTCCGGTAATATTTATTTTTTAATCATACAAAGAATTTTATTAATTTCTAACTTTCTTTTGTATGCACACCAGTAATGTAACATTTCTTATTTTATTATAATAATTATTTTATTGCGATAGATAAAGCAGTGAATGTAAATCTCAAAAAAAAAATCAATGGATTGATAATTGATTTTTTTTTATAAAGTTATCAATTGACAGAGGTACTTCTTGCATAAACTATTTTTCTAAAACAGTATATAGATAATACAGAAAAAAAAAAAAAAAAAAAAAAAAAAACAATTTCAATTATACAGCGGTATTAAAACATGATAACACAACTACTTAATCATTTATTTTTAAAATTAAATTGCAAAACAAATTTGTTATATACTGCATTGACGATAAACATAATATATCGAGCATAAAGTAAAGACGTAATTAAGTCACCCTGGGGCTCTCGAAGCTCATTCCAACATTGCTACAAAAATCAACAGTCAGTTAACCAACAGATCCACCAGCTAACCAATTGCTCGAGCATTCAGTGCGTTTTCACGGCTCTATATAAAACGATTGTTTTTCACGAGATACTTCAGTTGAAAACTGTTTCATCAGCAGGACGGTGAAAAAATAAATAAATATTCACGATGGAAAAAGCAAACCTTACTGCTGTGCTCTATGGTATCAACGATTTGCGATTGGTTAGTTTTTTTAACTTTATATTATTTATTTAAATGATTTTAATTTATTTTTAATAAAACTATCAGCAGTCATTTGTTACAAGAATGTGTAAAATTTTTTTTTTATTTAAATTCTACTCCGAAATTATTTGAAAAATAAGTGAAAGTTTTTTTTTTTTAAACTTTAGTTATAGATAAAAATTAAAATTAAATAATTTTACTTATTTAGTTTAACGTTATTAATTTTTTTCGGTATACGTGGCAAGTAGTATAACGGAGTTTTAGGATAGCGAGCGTATTGTGAGTAAGTACAATCGCGCACGTGTCTTACCCATATGTACATGCTCTTATGTCACATTTACACTCGACTGTACTTTGACATTCATCTAGCCGGTCATACGAGTAATGACCCTGAGCTTTTATGTACTCTGTCTCGGTGCGATCGATTGTAAATGAAAAGTATGAATTTATAATTAAACAAATGTTTATTTTTTTTGTTACGTAAATATTCTCATACATTATTTATCGATTTTTTAATTACTTTTAGGAAAACACTCCGATTGAAGAGCCTAATGATGATGGTAAATAATTTATTATCTTTATTTTTCATAAATCATTTTTTTAATTATTATCACCAAGATAAAAAAATTTAAGTTCATAAAAACAATTAATTTGTTATATGTCTGGGTGATTTTTTATGATTCTTAAACTATAAATTAGCAGACAAAAATTTATGACATTTTTACAAGCAATTATCATAAAAAAATAATGTTTTATTTCCGTTCAACAACAACAACAACAATAACATTATAAGTATTAAAATTACATAAATAAGATGAATGAATAATGATGCTACAAAATTAACAAAAGTTATTCGCGGATACTCTATCGCGTTGGCGTTATTTTTAACTCTCAATCGCAATAATTGAACCTGTTGCACGTGATGCAAGATAGATCAGTACGTAACATAATAAATGTCACTTTGAGGAGGCACGAGTGTCCTTGTTAATATGTTTAAATTATCATTTTCATTATCAAGTGCATTAGAATAGTTACAGTAGCTATTTTTAGAAGCATCTATCAATCTCAGTTTCTATTACAATTATTCAATCATATTTAATCAAATCACCAATATAAAATAAATCTTTAATATAAAAATGATGTTATTTGTTAATTACAATATGCTATAAAAATAATTGCAGAAGCACTTATGGAAATGGCCTGCGTCGGAATATGCGGCTCGGACGTTCATTATCTCGTCAACGGAAGAATAGGTGACTTTGTTGTGGAAAAACCAATGATAATAGGTCACGAGTCGTCGGGAGTTGTCGTTAAAGTCGGAAAAGATGTTAAAAATATAAAGGTTTATTTTTTAAATTAATTATTATTCAAGTCTATGATTATTTCAATACAAATTAATTTTTTATTCACAGGTAGGCGACCGCGTAGCCATCGAGCCTGGTGTACCTTGCAGAAGATGTCAATTTTGCAAAGAAGGGCGCTATAATTTATGCAAAGATATTATTTTCTGCGCTACACCCCCTGTCCATGGTAGTCTTCGTCGTTATTACAAACACGCAGCAGACTTTTGCTTCAAGTAAATATTTTCAAAATTTTATCTAAGGTAGTGACTGTTTATTAAGCCGATAAATTTTGTTTATTAAATTATTTTTTAAATTGTTTATTCAAAAGATTCGATCAATCAATCAAAATAATTGATAATGCAATTGCATAATTATTATTATAATCCAATGCAGCTCATTAAAATAATTTTTTTTTTTATAATCATAAACAAAATATTTTTATTGATTCAATAATTATTTTCTTAAAATTTAGTATTTAAGTGGGATTAGTAAATCATAAAATAGAAAATAAATTTAATAAAGTACAATTGTCTTATTATCAGCAATGTTGAATGAGGGACTTAGATAATGATTAATGGCTATTTATTTTTTTTTAATTTCTTAATCCATAATTTCATGATTTAGCTTTAGTTTAAATAGTCTTCTTATTTTTATTTAATGAATAAATTATTACTAATTTAATTTTTTAGTTTCAAAATTTATTTTACATCCAATCATGTATTAATTTTTGATTACAAAATATTGTAAAAATCCTTAGACAAAATAATTAAAAACGATTGACAATGTTAATTCTTATTTATAAAAAAAGAAATGAAAAAATATTTAGGAGTATTAAAAGGAATTCAATTTTTTTAATTAAAGAAATCTTATTTAATCCATAGTTACTTAAAAATATTGTTAATAATTGATAAAATAAATATTTTCAGATTACCGGACAATGTTAGTAACGAAGAAGGAGCAATGATGGAACCTTTGTCCGTGGGTGTGCATGCATGTAAGCGTGCAAACATTGGAATTGGATCAAATGTTCTGATAATGGGTGCTGGACCAATCGGTTTAGTTAGTTTATTAGTTGCCAAAGCGATGGGCGCTAGTATGATAGTAATTACTGGTACGTTTAATCCTAATAAAAAAAATTAATAATCCTTTAATTTCTTTATCATTTAAAATTGAGCTCTTTAAAACTTTCAATTGTGCAATAAATTTTTAAACACCGCTTAAGTTTTTATTGCCCAATTAAAAGATTAAGAAAAGACTAGCCGTAATATTACATAAGTAACAAAAAGTCAGTTATCGTTTGTTTATTTTTCGTCTATCTTTATTACATAATATAAAATATGTAAAATGTATGATAATTAAACATTTGTTTGCAGATTTAGTGGAGCAACGGCTGAATATAGCAAAAGAGCTGGGTGCAAACAAGACTGTCTTACTAAAAAAAGACATGAAAGAAGAAGACACTGTGAAGATGATTCATGAAGCATTTGGCTGTGAACCGGATAAAACTATTGATGCTTCTGGTGCTGAGACGTGCATTCGTCTTGCAATTTTAGCTACTAAATCTGGTGGTGTTGCTGTTTTAGTCGGAATGGGCGCTCCAGAAATTAAAATTCCATTGATTAATGCTCTGGTGCGGGAAGTTGATATTCGTGGAGTCTTCCGATATGTCAATGCGTATGTTTTATTTATTTTTTTAGCTAATTTAGGATCCTGATTTTTTTTATCTACATGCTATAATTATTTAACAACTATTTTCAGACTAAATATTAATGACACTGAAATTAATTGATATCAACCATTTTTTTTGTTTAGAATTTTATTATTAAATTAGCCTGCTGACTTCTGTATCAAAGTTTTCTTTAGTCTGAAGATAAAAAAAATCACTAGATTGATTAAACTTTTAATATAACAATTTTTAGCAAACAAAGTTTAATAAAAAAAAACTACATAATAATGTATTTTACAGCTATTCTGATGCATTGGCTCTTATAGCTTCCGGCAAGGTTAATGTTAAACCATTAATCACACATAACTTCACCATGGAACAAACAGTTGATGCTTTTAATGCTGCTAAAACACCAACAAGTGGTGCTATTAAAGTTATGATTCACTGCAAGTAAATACAAATTTTCCCCGACAATAATTATTGTCTTATCGACGAATTATTATTAATAAATTGATGAAAGTAAAAGATTTATCAAGAATAAAACCGTAAAAATGCTGTTAAATTTATAAAAAATAGTATTTTTTTGTAAATCTAATATATGTAAAACAAATTCCTGTTATATTTAAGTATAAAAACTTATTTGTGATAAATTTATTCAAAAAAATTAATTACATTTCTGTAGATTATTATTATTAATAATAAAAGAATATTTATAAAAAACTTTCTAAATTTTTAATCAAGTATATGACAATTAATATTTTCAAAAAAATTAAAAAAAAATTTTAAGGTTAACATATAAAAAATATAAAACAAGTCCCTTTAGTACCTACTGATGACACTCTTTATTATTTTACCTCTTGAGCGCAAGTGCCGCCCCCATAATTTTTTTTTACGCGCGTTAAATGGCATCAGCTGCTAGCAGACGAGTCTTACGAATCTTGTCAACGATTTGCTACATAAATACACAGTTAAATCGTGAATTTTACAATATTTTTACTCAGAACAATAAATCACTAGCGTGTGTATTCAATTCATCATTAAAATCACCATCAACTTGCTACGTGTCATCCACGGTAATAAGCTGATAAAAACTTATCATTTATTTTCAATCTCTAATTACAATATTTCTCCAATGTAGGTTATGAATGGTTCAGTATAAGATTGGAGATTTTACTTTTTGTTTATGTTTTATATCACTAACTTAGTTTTATTTTGCGACAGAATAAACTGAACACAATGGCCAGCGCTGCAAAGACATTTCCCACCAATTTAAAGGATTTTGGGTACGAGTTTGATGAAGGTATACATTTTGTTATTTTTCTTTTCAAGTGTTTGAAGCGCAAATTTAATTATTACTCCAAATTAATTTTACATTTGATTAATATTAAAAAAAAAAAAAAAAAAAAAAAAAAAAAAAAAAATGTTTATTATTTTTTTAGAAGGAAGATTGCGAAAGTTAGATCCCAAAACTGGTTCGTTAACTAACGATGGGTTTGAATTTAATGTCAGCGAAGACGCACAATATAATCAAAAGCGATATGAAGCTTTAGGAGAGGTAAATTTTTTTTTTTTTTTTTTTTTAACAAAAATTATTTAAAAAATTTCTTTTAATAGAAAAAGAAACAATTAAAAATTCCTTATAGGTAATAAATCAATACGTCTATGAGCTATTAGAAAAAGAAGGATTGAAGCGATTGCCAGTTCCAAAAGACAGTGATGTACCATTAGAATATCGGTCATTTGTATTTGCCAGTGACGATGCATTTACAAATAAAAAATTGATGGTTCTCATCCATGGCAGCGGTGTCATCAGAGCTGGTCAGTGGGCACGGCGATTAATTATCAACGATAATCTCAAAAGTGGTACGCAGTTACCGTACATAAAAAAAGCTAAAGAATTGGGCTATGGAATTATCGTCCTCAATACCAATGACAACCGCAGGATAATTAATGAAGAAAATGAAAGCATAGAAGTATGTTTTCTATTTATTATTTTTCTTCATCATAACATTTTTTAAAAACTTTAATTTTTTTATTAGGGATCCGAAGACCCACACGACCACATGGAAACAGTTTGGTCTCAGTACATACAACCGTCAGCAGCTACAGATATTGCTATTGTAGCTCACAGTTACGGGGGAGTATGTACAGTGGAATTTGTACGTATTATTAATTCAATTTTTTTTTTTTTTTTTTTTTTTTATGATAGATTTTATTTTAAAAATTAAATTTCCATAATTTATTATCATACAGGCTCATCAACACCGGGAAGAATTCCAAAAACGAGTATTCGCCGTAGGTTTTACAGATTCCGTCCACAGATTACCAACAACGGGATGCGATCATGTGGTTAAGGTAATTGTTTTTTAAAATTAATATTTAAACTGACCAAGTGAATTTTTGGGGCTATTTTTTTAATTACTTACTGAGAATTGAATTAAAAGCGCATACACTGACCATTAAGATAATTGCCCGGGTAAAGTGTGCGTAGAGTACTTGGGGAAAATGCAAAAGTTCATTGAAAACCATCCTAGTCTAGTCCATCTGTGTCTATTGTCGTGTTTACAATAGCACTGCATGACTCGATCTTTATTAGCCATCTCATACAAGAAGAGTTATCCTATTATGCTACCAACAGAGTTAAGTGTTTAGCTTCATCACACAAATATCTGCTCCTGAAGCACATCTTGTTCATCTTGAGTTTTCAAAAATCTACAAACCTTTAAAAAAATTATTTACATCTTTGATAAGTATAATTAGTAATTCCAATAGTAAAAATGACATTTATGGTATAGTTATTTATAAAAAATATCATATGAGATAGTGCATTAATGCCAATGGATCAATAGTCAACATCCATTACACTGAAAGAACAATATATACATACATATATATATATATTTGCACAATGTACATAGAAAAAAATGCTTGACGTTTGCCTGAGTTCATTTGAACGGTACATGTTACGATAGTGGTTGGCTGGTTGCTTTCATGGCACATTGTTTCGGTGACAATAGAACAACTGCGTGACTTCTTCCATTAGCCTTCTACATTACAGAGTGGTGCTTGTCCAGCCGGTGTGCTGGTACAGTGTCAATACGCGGTGTAATGTCGCTCGCGGTTTCATCGAGTATGAGAGTACACTAGACTACATTAAATTGATGATGTAAAAGGGGACAAAGAGAACCTGTGGTGAAAAAAAGACAAGAGCCATGTATTAATGTTAGGGAGTAATTATTTTTATTTACTTTTTTATCTAGTAAAAACATGCATCTTTACAGTGTCTTCTCTTGGGAAATCATATATTTATAAATACTAAAATTGTTTGTTCTGACTGAGAAAGATAAATAATTATTTGAATTAAATTGATTGAATTAAAATTACTTGAGCTAAAAATGAAGGCAGGGTCTGCATCGAAAAATAATGAAGCAGAGTCAGGAAGGGTTGGTTGGTAAGCACCCCCCGTTGAAATCGCGACTTCGCTCACCCAGTAGCGGTAATACAATAATGAATTGCTCGGAGATGAATGTCGTGCTCTGACAATGCTCAGTGCTTCATAACTCTCGACTTTTAGCGAACGTAAGAGAGAGATTCGAGAGAAGTGAAGTGACTGCTGTCCTCGTGATATCATGCTGTACCAGTATAGTATGTTACGTTGTTACAATCTGCTCAAATCTAAAGAAGCCTTGCATCTATATTCGTCTCTCCTCTCGTTTTTTTCAACTTGGTACATAAAATACTTATACTTTTATCCGTACTAAATACTTTTTGTCATTTAAAATTAAAAAAAAAAAAATATTATTGAAATTTAATAAAATTTTTTATCAATTCTGCACACGCTGGGTTTCGAACCCAGCTCAGTTGCGTTTCTTATATCATGACTTTAGCGCTAAGCTACAGCAAATTTTTCAAGCATCATTAAACGCAATAATAAAAATTTCTTTAATTATAATCCAGCAACGAGCTTGTTATTAACAGTTCAAATTTTCATTTAAATATTCTCTTATACGATGAATGCTTTTACAGAATTTTTTTTTAAATTATATTTCATGTACAGTTATAAAAGTTGCAAAAATAGTCTCGCTAAAGACACACATCAGTGCAGACTTTGATATGTATGATTGATTGCCTTTAGTTAATAAAATAAATAAAATTTTGCATACTCACGCTTGTAATATTAAAAATAACAGCAATAGCAATGATTTCTCCATGAGTGTGATGTCAAGTAGTTGAAGTTAAAAGTGTTTGTATATATTTGCAAAGAACGGGGAACAGTTAATCATAACTCATAACTGTTATGCTATGTACAAATAGTCGATAATGTAGTCATATTATTGCACTGGCAAGTAATTAATTTGAGTGATGAAGTAAATAGAACTAAAACTCCGTCGGCTGATTGGTCGTTTAGCTGGTATTCTCTTTGGAAAGAGAACACCGGAGTAAATTCATCACAAGTTTCATACTCTTTCGACAAATATACATCGGTATATATTTCCCTAGGGTCGATAATTATTATATTGAAGATTTATTAGATGTCCTCTGTCTACAAGGGAAGACTACTATTTTCTTTTATAAAAAATATTTTTAATTAAAAAAATAAATAAGTACATTTAATTAATTGTTTTTAAACGGAAAAAAAAAAATGTAAAAATGTAAAAAAAGTATTCTTATAATAATTTTACGGTTAGTTAAAACTGAAATCGCATGTATAGACGGACGTATAGGGTTTCGCAAACATAAGAATCGTTGTAACTAAACAAGTATCCCTCCAACATGCAGGAAAGAATAAACAGAATACGGATATATAAATGTATATATATATATATATATATATATATATATATATATAAATATGAAGTTGTTGCATGACATATCGGAAATGTCAGGGTATAGACATACGGAAGCAGCATCTTTTGCGGTGGTATTGTGGTCACAGGTGCAGTCTGGAAATTGGTTACGGTTTTACTTGAGAAGCCCCGAAGACAGTGGTTTTAGTCATTTTACCTCTCAGATTTAATACTAGAAATTTAATATGCTGGGTTCATTTCATCTCCTCAATTTTCATGGCACGCGTTTCATTTATAATTCAACCACTATTTTAATTACGTTATTATTAATAAATTTTATTTTAATTCAGCAGCTTATAGTTGATACTTTTGTATTTTTAGGTTTCCAAAAATTGGGTCTCCTCAGAACAACCATTAGATACTCCAGTTGATTGTGCGAGCGACGACGTGCCGTGTGTCTCAGCTGGGCATCCAGTTCACGAAATGACATCTTGGTCGTGCATCGAGTCGCTATTTAAATTCCTTGAGGAGCACTATAACAATCGCGTTAAGGGCAAGGATTAATTCACCTCATATCGATTGGACTAAATTTTAAGTTTAATAATTACTCTTTATTTTATTTAACTATTTTTACGGGCCGTAATTTTTAAATATCGTATTATATATATATCTAATAGAATAATTAATAATTATAACATATAAGTATTAATTATATACGTAAAAACAATTATTTTAATGATAAAATATATAATTGTGGTATTTGTAATACTATCTTAAATTATTTTATTGTAACTTAAGCGTTTGTGTTCTGATCGGACATTTTGTTTTACAGCCATACAAAACTAATAAACAAAATGGCGCGTTAATTTTATGCGGCGAATTTGAATTGTAATTATTACACAATCAACTGATTCATTGATTATCAATATTTATATTTTTTGCTCAACATAAAAGCTTGAACTATTTCAATATTATAAATTATAATTATTCTATCTAATATTTAAATTAAAAAAAATTGAGGTTATAATTTATAATGCAGACAGCAAAAGAGGTATTAAATACATTTTTTTAATTTATTAGAATATCATAAAAAATGTTTAATAAATTTATATTATAAGACGATTAAAAAAAATTACATATTATTTTTTCCAAGCAAAAAAATAAAGATAAAATTTTTTCTACATTCATATGATCTTTCTTATCGCGTAATAAAAAACCCATCGGTCAATCTCCAAGTTTTCTTCCCGTTAACTGATATGAGATATTGGGGTAAAAAATAGTGCCGCTCGCAAAGATAATAAATAAATAGTTGTTTTTGTCACACACACACACATATGTATAATATATATATATAAATATACAGCGAATGGAGTGATAATGATAAAGATCGAAGTGTTCTATAAATGGCGCGTATCATAAATAAATATATATATACTTTTAGTCCATAATATTTCAAGCAGATAGATGACTGACGGTAAAAAATTTTGGATAGCTTCTGAAGTTTCTCTATAAAAATTTATTTATTTACTTATTTTTTTCCATACATCCAGAAGCTTGTCAATAAAAATTGTTTTTGGATTAAAGTAAAATTATTAAATTTAAAAAATATTTCCAGAGTCCACATAAGTGTTTAAAGACATTTGATGTTTACGAGCAGAAAGACAGTGAAAAAGAAAATAAAGAGGAGATTCTATCGACCGCACGCGAAATACACAACAGGGTCTCTACAATTGAGGGCCCTAAGGCCAGCCGTCTAATAATAAAGCTGTGAAAAAAAAAAAATCTAGAAGACACACTTGTTACGTGGCTTGCTTTATTTCTTCTTTTACTTTTTTTGATATTTTTTTCCCTGCTCTCGTTTTATTTGACTTTTTTTACTCTCCGTGCTTTCGCCATCCCCTTCTGTTAACGCACAAAAGTTAATCGGCCCGGTTTGCCGGTTGTCATGGGCCTTGATGGATGAGCTCGTGACGTCACTGCGTGGCATTTCGGCTCTGGCGATTATGAGCAAGGGCGTCAGAAATAAAATAACTAACTGGGGTGCTTTTTTTTCGCCGAAAAATTTTTTTAAAGTCAATGAAAATTTTTTTAAAAAAATTTGAAAAAAATTAGGTATAAAAATTTTACAGTTACTGTGTTTTAAAATTGGGCAGCCGAATTATTGATGAGAAATTTTTTCGTAGGTAATTATTGCATGAGAAATAAAACACGGTCACCTTATACTTATAATTCATAATTATAATCTATATTTTTATTTGTTTTTGTAGAAGTTTGAATTAAAAAAAAAAAAGGTATAAGTTCAAAGTGAAGTTTGGTTGAAAGTTTTGCCTGGGAAGTAATGAGAGTGAAAAGTACAAAGTACGAAGAGGAGGGCAAGTTATTTTGCGAGTTGTCGTGGGAGGTCTCGCGAGGTTAGGGGTAGATGAAGCGACCCTCGACCTTACTGTAACCAATCGCGATTCACGTTCAAGACACAGCTGCCAATGAGAACCTCTACGGGTCAACCCCGCGAGTGAGTCTGCATCTGTGTATTGTATATTGAATATATTATATGGAGGCTTTTTTTTAATGTTTAAAAAGTAAAAAAAAATTAAATTGACTTTTAGCGAAGCTTTGGAGAATCCGAGTTTAAGATATATATTGATATTAAAGTGAAGCAAAGTAGCGAAGAAGATATATATTCATTTTTAAGTAAACACATATCCGATCACTTACACCCCTATGATTATTTACCCTAAAGAAATATAAATCATTCATGCAATGTATATAATTCGATCACCATTGATAGTAAATCCATTTCCGTTGATGAATAAATATATACACCGAGTGTTAGAGCGAAGAATGAGTGTAAGAAGAGTCGTGGAAACGCAAATCGTATCAGGATATCATATCAGACGAGAACATACCGTCTGTCATGTCTGATATATGTATATGTATATGCATACATTGAGCTTTTCAACACGTATAACCCTGCTGAAGTTAGATATTTCGATAGAATCTATTCAAATGTAGGCCATAGGGTGCTTGCAAACCTCCAGCACTCAATCCGAGGGGTGTAATGCGTGTAAATCTTTGTCGACAAATTCTAAATCCTCTTTGAGATTTTTCTCAACTGTCGCATATTTTGTACCTATGAATATTCAAATAAGACCAAAGTTTACACAGTAAAAAAAGCACTTGATTTAAGAAAAATTATCTTTGAAATTTCAATTTTGTTTAATCTTAAAGGAAGAAACTTTCTTTGAGAGAATGTAAATAAGAAGAAATTATTAGTTTTGGAGAATAATGTTTTTTAGTACAGAATTTGATTGTATTTTACGAAGGTAATGTAGTTTTGATTCAAGATATAGAATTTTTAAGTTTCAAGACAAGAAATTCTTGGATCAAGACTATTAGTTTCCTTTTAAATAATTTTGTTCCTAGATCAAGAGAATTTCTCTTGAATTAGGGGAAGGGGGGGGGGCAAAATGGGGTACTTAAGCAATCGTTATGATTTTAAGAACTTAAATACGCTGATTTTTCTCGTTTTCAGTCGTAATTAAAGGAAAATAATCAAATTTCAAGTTGCCGTGGAAAAAAAATTTTTTTTTTTTGCGGGCAAAATGGGGTACTCCCTGAAAGAGTGAAAAAAAAATTTCTTCATCCGAAAATGAAATATCGTTAAAAAAATAACATTTTCTTATCGATAAGTCTACGAAAGAACCCAAAGAGAGGAACAAATCACCCAAAAAAGAGACATTGTTAGTTGAAGCAATATATTCCTAACAAAAATTGAGGTAGTAAAAAAAATTTAAAAATTTTGTCGTAATTTTTGACGGGTTTCGCTTGAGTAAAAATAAAATCAAGATAAAAAAAAAAAGAGTTCTCTTGAGAAAATTCTAGCATTTGGAACTCCCGGTGAAAAAAATTATAGACTCATAGTTCTCACGCAATTCAAAGTAATAGCACGAAAAAAAAAGATTCGTAATTTTTTTTGCACTCTTTTTCTTGGTTTAGGGATTCAGAAAAATTTTTTCAAGTTGAATAATCTTATAGGCCTGAAGATTTTACTTTTTAGATTATATATCTGTTACATCTGTTTAAAAGCTGTTAATAGAAAAAAGTTATTTTAAATTTATGAGGAAGTCTAAGTTTCGCTGAACCTTATCAAATGACGCGATTGTCATTCAAATCAGTGGA